CCTCCAGTCAACCTCCCGCTCCAGCTGCCCCTCTGCTCACACCCCAGCTCGGCCATCTGGCCCTTGATGCCCACCCCTGTGGTCCTCTTCTTTCCTTCCTCCGTTCTCACCATTTCCCTATACACACAGACTGTGATTTCCACACAGAACTCATCTTTTCGATTAAGGCCTTGGAGCTTTGCTTGGGCCTCTGCCGGGAACACCCTGACTTTTCTCTGCCTGACAACTCAGGAAGGTCTGCGGCACCTTCCCTGACTCCCTACTTACATGGCACCCAGCCCCTTGGGCTCCTCTGTTGTGATCACCCTGGTCCTTTTCCTCTTCACTTGAGCCTCCGCAGTACGTTACCCCAGTTAGAGCACATGGTATATCTTTCTGCCTCCCCCCTACCCCGGCTGGGACTAGCCTTGACAGCAGGCACCTGACTCCTCCATATCCCACCCGCCCCCCTCCCAGGTCCCCCGATCTGAAGCCTCCACCTTCAGTGCCTCCCACCACGTGGCCTACTTCGAAGCTTCCGCCAAACTGCGCCTCAATGTGGATGAGGCCTTCGAGCAGCTGGTGCGGGCTGTCCGGTGAGCTGAGCCCCCTTCACATGATCCCCCTCGTCCCCTAAGCCCCCACTCCACCCAAACTCATCAGCCTCTTCCCACAGGAAGTACCAGGAACAAGAGCTCCCGCCCTCCCCGCCCAGCGCCCCCAGGAAGAAGGCCAGAGGCTGCCCCTGTGTCCTCCTGTAGGGACCAGCTGCTCTCGCCGAGCACCCTTCCCCATCTGGGGCTCCCAGGACACACTACACCCCCACCCGCGATTCCTGGCCTCCCCCCCGGGGGCCATCACATGCTGTGCCTTCTGTCACCGCTGCCTTCCCCCACCCGAGCCCCAGGGTGAGGGCTCCCGGGCACCCGGGTCACTGCTGTATATAACTCCCCTCCCCAGAGAAATAAACGTCACTGCCAAGAAGGTGTTTTGTTTTTTTTTTTTATAAAAGGGACCGGGTGAACCCAAGGCCTGTGCACACTCACTAAAGCCTAGCTCCAGCGAGAACCATCGGATCTAAGACCCTTTGCTCAGGGCAGGGACAAGCTGAGCCGGCCGTCTGACCCCCACTTCCTCTCTTAACAGATTCCACCCTTTTCTGTCTCACTGGGCATTTTGTTGAGATGAGGATTAATGTTTGAGTGGGGACTTCCCTGGCAGTCTAGTGGTTAAGACTTTGCCTTCCAAGGCAGGGATCCCTGGTTAGAAAACTAAGATTCCCACAGGCAGGCAGGGAGGAGCTGGTGGCGGGGGCGGGGGTAAATAAAAAAACTATTTTTTCTGGAACATTCTAGAACTGCACTTTTCAGTCTGGTAGCCGGAAGCTACATGTGGCTATTTAAATTAACTTCAATGTAAAAACTCAGTGCCTGAGTCACACAGCCGCATTCAAAAGTTCAGCATTCACACGTGTGACTTAGCGGCTACTACCCGCACCCCACACCCCACCCCCACTGCCATGGGCAGGGCACACACACAATATTCTCATTACTGCAGAAAGGTCTGTTGGACAGAGGTGGTGTTCTAGGAGGCTCCGAGACCTTGGAGACAGGCAGCAACTGCTGCGAACTGTGCCCACCTGCCTCCCACCTCCAATGTGTATTGAGAAAGGCGGTTTGGCTGCAGAAGTGAGAAGGGACAGGTGGGCAGGTGTTTAAGGAGCAGGTTCTCAGTTCCAGAAAGCTTTCAGTTGGACTGACATCTGAGTCTCAAACTTTAATTCAACTGGAGGCTGGTGTGGAGGCACCCCTCCTGCCAGCCTCTCCCCTGGGGTGGGGGGTGGGACTGAAGTGTAGGGCATCTTAAGGTGACAACAGTTTGGGGATCAGGACCCCCAATTCTGTACTGAAGCTGCTAACTCGGAAGACTAGAGCCAGAACCGGAGAACACCACTCCCCCGTTGCCCAGGCCCATCAGACAGGGCATCTTTTTTTAAAAAAATATTTCCTTATTTGGCTGCACCAGGTCTTAGTTTTGGCATGGGATCTAGTTCCCAGACCAGGGATCAAACCCAGGGCCCGTGCACTAAGAACACAGTCTTAGCCACTGCACCTCCAGAGAAGTCCCAGACAGACCATCTTTGAACTCCAATATACCAAACCAGAAATCTCAACCAAGATGTCCGTGTCTCCAAGAACTTTGGTCCCCACCGGACTATCGTTAACAGTCAACTATCTCTTCCCCCCACCCCCACATGGGCTAAGTCTCAACAGAATTTCTGGGCCCTAATCCCCAAATGCTCCCTTCACACCCACCCCAGAACCTGCTTCCCAATTCTGGGGTGGGTGATGACCCCACGTGGCCCCTGGCAGCAGGCTGCCTGAGTTCCAATCCGGTGCTGACCCTCCTAGGCAAGTGCCTTTGGGCAAGTGCTTCTGTTTTTACATCTGCAAAGTGGGGGAGACTGCAGTTACTTCCCATGGTCACAGGCCTTTAGGAACCAAATCTGCACCCAGAGGATGAAAGCAGCGCCTGGGAGGTACCCCACACTCAGGAGTGATGACAGAGTTCTCCAGTCTTCGAAGCATGAAGGTCCCTCTGTATTCCAGATTAGGACAATGATTAGCTAAAGATCCCTTTCCGGGTTTCATTATCACAGAATCCTTGGCCTGGGTTCAACCTTCCGCCCTGGGAATAAGAGTGGCTTAGATGTATTGTGCTGTGTTTCCCCTCCCTTCCCCAGTGTCCACTCCCCCAGAAGAACCTCTGTTCAGCAAAGGCCTCCCCTGTGGGACAGGGGGATGTTTCATTTAAGATCTGACAGCTCCACCTAAGCCCCAGCCAGGGGCGAGCTCCTCTTAACAGGAACCAGGGGGACCCCTGCTAACTCCTCTCCCCCCGGCTCCTACCACTGACTCGCCGCTAGCAGAGGCCTTAGTCTTTCCTGTGTTGTCTACTGGGGTTAAGTTCTGGCTGGGACACCTCGTTTCTCAGAAGACCAAGATGCACTCCGAGAAAGTGACGAAAGCTACTTGCTTGCCCCTAAAAAAGGCACAGATACAAAACCCACATGACAACTGGCAGGCCATTTTTGGAAAGTTTGCAGCCACCACCATGCCAAAGCTCATCAGACAACAGCGAAGAGGCTGGGCTGGCCCAGTTGGCATCTGCCTAGGTTAACTGTGTGCCTGTCTCTGGTTCCTGCCCTCCCCTGGGCTTGTCAATGATTTCAAATCTCTTGGGGGTTTTACTGTCCCTCTTTATCCATCTTTGCAGTTCTCTGCCTCTCCTCCCTTTTCACCATCTCTTGGACCACAACCAAACCTCTCAGTGTCTCCTGCTATGCACTGAACAGAGCTTCAAAAAGTTTTCCTTTGTCTTGGCAGAAGCCCATTTTACAGATAACAAAGCTGAGGGTGGAGCTATTATCCAACTTGTCTGGTCAGTGCTGGAGCTGATATATGAATTTGGGCAGTTGAATTCTGAAGGCCAACCACAAGGTAACTCTGTCCCCAGAAGGATGATACTGCCTCTGCAGTTCACCTTCTGAACATTTCTTCCAAATTCTACCCTGGGACAGCCCAGGAACCTTTGGTCCCAATTTGACATCGGCAGCCCAGAACTGAGAAATGTGACACTCCCTTGCAGAGGCTGCATGCATGTGCTATAGGTCAGAGTTCAAGGACACTAATGACTCATCTTAATTCCATGATTCTAGAAAGTAAACGGCATTCACTCTGTCATGGTCCTCAGTGTTACTAGCAGTCCTCTATTGTATAAAACTAAGGCTCTAGAATTGACCACATTGTTTATGATCTAGCCAATATCCAAGGTTCTAGAAGAGGAGTTCTTCCTCAGTTTCACCTGGAAGAGAATCTAGAATGCTGAATATCCACCTTATACTTCCTGTTGGATCTCTACCCACTGACCAGCCACTCTCAACACTGACTCCAGAGTTCTAGAATACCAATGGTCTCCTTTTGAGGATATATCCAAGATCTAGAACAATGGCTTACTCACTACCTTATAGGCTGGGTTCTAGTAGACACCAGTTGACCTCCAAATTGTTAACCCTCTTATTCTAGAACATTGTTCCTCAAACTTCAACGCATATTAGAATCCTCCCAGGATTTTATTTTAAAAATGGGTTCTGACTCAGGGCTGAGAAAGAACCCAAGCTACATCTCTACCAGCTCTGAGGTCTCCAGGAAGCCATGAGAAGACAGGAATTCACATTCAACTCTGCAGGCTGACCTCTAAAATGCCAACCCGCCCTGGAACCCTACCTCAAGTATGAGAACCCTCAAGCCTACCTCAGGGAGCCAAGAGAAAGCTGGTTAACTCCTGACACCCATCACGGCCTGGACTGGTTTAAAAATAACACCCCCAAATTCTTATACTTTTCCCTTCACAAAGTAGAGCTTGACTCCCCTCCTTGAGTGTGTGCTGGGCTTAACGACCCTCCTCTGATGAACAGTGTGGCAGAAGCAGTGGAGTACAGTGTCTCAGGTTAGGACATAAAGATCTAGTGGCCTCCTCCTTGATCTCTCCTTCCAATCACGCACTCTGGGGGAAGCCAGCTGTCACGTCTGGAAGACTCTTAAGCCATCCTATGGTTATGCTTGTCCACATGACAAGCAACTGAGGTCTCCAGCCAACAGCCACGTGAGTGAGCCACCTTAGAGCAGATCCTTCCTCTCCCGTCAAACCCATGAGGGATGCACCCTCATGCCTGACCCTAATACCACCCGACTAACTAGCTCCCTAATTCCGGAGCTCAGAAACCCTACGATATAAATGTTTGTTGTTTTCAAGTTATTAAGTTTTGGGGTGGGCTAATTTGTTACACAGCAAGACATAATGGAAAACAGTGACCCCAGCTCAACCACCTTCCAGGGCTCTAGAAAAGCCACATTCCAGATTCCGGACTCTCTGCCCATGTCACACGCGCCCCCCCCCCCCCCCAGGCCCCACCCCGCAGCCCTGCCACGCCGCAGGACAGAGGCACTCCAGCCAGCCGATAAAGTGTTTGCCGTTGGGTTTTCGTTTGGCTGGTTGTGTGTACACAGTGTATACAAGTTGAGTTGTACAGAAGCCCAAGAAAGAGCAAGAGACAAAGGGTGGTGGGGAGATGGGAGCAGAGGGGTTAGAGAGAGGGAGGAGAAGAGACCGATAAAAAATAGAACCACATCCAGATGACAAGGGGATGGGGGTGGAGGGGGCAGACACAGACAAATCGCAGTAGAAAAGGAGTGGGAGGGGCAAAGGGAGGGGACCCTTCTCCCCCCTCCACCTCCCCAGACCCCCGCCCCAGGTATGTACAATAAATAAGATTAAAAATAATTAACAAGATGCTTTTCCCCCTCCCACCCGACGCCAAATGCCCTGGGGAGGGAATGGCCTTTAACAAAGATCTTGGCCTGTGAGGGAAGGCTTGTGGGGAGGGGGAAAGGGGTCCCCCAGCTCTCTGAAGCCACCCCGCCCCCCTCAACCATACATAGACTTTTCCTATACATTATGTACAAGGTGGAGGGGGCTGGGGCTATGGCCATGGAGGGGGGAATCGGGGCAAGGTGGGGGAGGGAAACCGTTACTAAATAGACATTTATACATATATATAAATAATTTCTCTGTACACCGACAGTGGGGGGAAAGGGGAGGGAATAGAGAGGGCTTGGGAGGTGGGGGGGAGTCGAACTTCGAACTCTGCCCTCTGGGGGCAGCACGGACACACCCTGACCAATGACCCCCCCCCTTCCCCAGTGACGGGGCCCAGGGGTTAACTCCTGAGGGCACAGTTCTGTCCCCATTCTTGGTTCAAGGAGGAGGTGGTCCCCCCCCAGGCCAGGGTGGGGTCACCCGCAGCGGCTATGGGCCTGTGCTTGGGCCAGAAGATCGCTGAAGGAGTCAAAGAGCTGTTCCAGCCACGGCTGATTCCGCATGCACTGCTGGACCACCTCCTCCTGGCCCAGGTCCTCCGCGCCGCCCTCGATGGCCAGGGTCTGCAGGGGATTAAACGTAGATCTGGGGTGGGAGGGGGCTGGGGGCCTCGGGATCAGTGTCTCAGGGAGAAGGGGGCTGGGAGTTGGACTCCTGGGTCTGAGGGAAGACGGGTCGGGGACCTGGACTGCCAGGGTCCAGCCAGGAAGGAGCCTGTGATGGGCAGAATCCCATAGTGATACGTGCGGGGCGTGCATGGGCTCACCTGGTCCCGGCAGCGCAGGAAGGTGTGGTACTTATAGTGGTGGAGTGAGTGGTAGAGCGTGTAGTATCCCGATTTGTCCAGTTCAACCTTGAACTCCTGGGCAAGTGAAGTGGAGAAGCCTCAGCCACCGGGTCCAGCAAGAGGAAGCCCCTCCTTCCACGCCCCGCCCCTGACCCCGCCCCACCTCCCAGACCCCGCCCCACAACCTCCACTTCAGGCCCCGCCCCCATCCCCCCACCTTCCCGTCCAGGCCCCGCCTCTCCTGTTACCCATCGCACCTGGGCTCGGACCACGCTCCTCTTGAGCTTGCTGAGCGTCTTGCGGTTGTAGGGTTCCCCGGCTGGCCGCAGCCGCACGGCCCCCTCCTCGGGGGAGCCCTCCCCACTTTGCTCCACTTGCAGCTGGGGGTACGTGTGCAGGGCGTCCTGCGGAAATCCGGGGGTGGGTCAGGGGGACCTCCTTGGACACGCCCACCCCAGACCCACCCACGTCTCCGGTTCTCAGATTCTCAGATGCCTGGGTTTCACCCAGAAAACCACCGATCAGAAAAGACACCAAGCGTCTCGGTTTCCTCCAAGGACAGCAGAAACCTAGGCCAGGCTGATGACCCTTATCATGTATTCTGTGGCCCAACCCAGGCCTCTCCGAGACAGCTAACATCCCACCCAAGCTTCTAGTCACTTGCATATCCTACTCAAAATTCTGAGTTGGCCTGAAACCCAGAATCTCTAACATCCACCCAGAATTATACAACCAGACTCATATTCCATCCCATAATGCTCAGACCTACCCTAATGTTCTAACTTGTAATTTTTCTTTCTTTCTTTTTTTTTTTTTTTTGAGAGAGGGGCATGCCAACAAGACTTACAGTATCTTAGTTCCCTGACCAGGGATTGAACCTATGCCCTAATTAGTGAAAGTGTGGAATCTTAAACACTGGACCACAGGAATTCCCATTACAGTGGAATTTCTAATCCTAGCATAACACCCAGCCCTGTCTTCTCAGAGCCAGACGAATAGTCAATCCCAGGCTTCTCAGAGTCACCCTGATATCCCACCCAGAGTTTTTGAACCAGATTACCTTTCACCCTGTGTTTTCACAGTCAGGCTAATATCTCAATAAGAATTTTTAGAGCTGGCCTAAAATCCATCCTAGAAGTCTCAGAACTAGATTAACATCCCCCACCACGAACCTTCAGGGCCAGACTAACATTCCATGACAGAATTCTAAGCCGTCCTGATATTTTACACCCCAATTCTCAGCACTACACTAACATCCCCATCAGAATTCTCAGAGCCAGATTAGTGTTATCTCCCAGAATTTCCGGAGCCACCCTAACATCCCATCCCAGAAGGAAAGTTACATAGACAACTTCATGCTCGAGCCTGAGATTCAAAGAGCCTGAATTATGTTGACAAGAGAAGCCATCAGAATCTGCTCACACTCTGCCCCAGCAAGCCCTGGGTCCAGGCCCTAGTTCACCTTTTGTCCCCAAATTTGAACTCCATAACCATGCTCTGCCAGGCCTGCCCAGCAGCCCAGCCCAGACCTAGACAATGGCCCCTCCAGGCCATCATCCCAGCTTGCCTCCATCTGGGTGGGCGCGGATGCTGGGCCCAGAGATCCGCATGCAACAGCTCACCCTTCCACTATTCTCCTGGCCAAGCCTGAGCCTTCCAACCATCACCCCCTCCAGGGCCCAAAGCTCTGGGAAGGAGCACAGTGGCTGACGTGCACGTGTCTCCTCTGGGCCTGAACTCAAGGTCCCAGACACCACTTGCCCAGCCCCCCAAGCACCTACCTGCAGGGCTGGGCTCAGCGACAGCCGCTTCAGGACTTTCTTCTTGTGCTCATTCAGGAGGCCATCAATCTTCCGCATTGGCGGGAGGTACAACTCGTCTGAAAGGGGAGGAGGGACATGAGAAAGAGCTTAGCCCCCGACGACACAGAGTGGGAGGAAAGCAGGGGTTGAGGGTCTGGGTCCACTTACCATGAGTGTCCTCCAGGGCCTGAATCATGTCTGGGTCAAGTGCCGTGCTCACCAGCATCTCCACATAGCTCCGGTACATTTCCCGCATCGCCCGGGTCTTCAGCAGACGCCCAGGTACTGCCCGCTCTGGGGGGAAAAAAACGAGACATAGATCCATTATTCCAACTTCTGAGTCCGCTGAGGGAAGACTCTCCAATACCAGGACAATAAACTCTAAGGATGAATCACAGGTACCATCACGAGCTCAGCCTGACAAGTCAGGAAATGCTATTAAAGGTCAAACAAGCACCAGACTTTGAGAGATCAGAAAGAGAAATCCAGGTCGGTGACCTCTGTGTTTGACCAGTTCCGCGAAGTTTATGTAAAGTCTAAAGCAGCAGCAGAATTGGTTTCCAGACCGGTGAATCAAGTCCGAGAGATCAGATCACAAAAGGCAAGGTTGAGGGAGGAGGTGGGAACTGAGACTGCAGAGTTTAGTGTAGGCCAGACCACGTGGGGCCTCCAAGATGAGGTGGAAAGGGCAGGGGCTTTTTTAGGGAGGGGTCCTAGGGAGCCATGGGAGAAAGCTGTGAGCAGGGAAGGGTGAAGGTAATTGGAGAGCAACCTCTCCGAGGCCATGTTGATGGATCGGGGGGGGAGACGAGAGGCCAGGGCAATGGAACAGATGGGAAAAAAGAAGGTGGGGATGGGACTGGAGGGACAGGTACAGAGAATGAGGGGCAGGAGGGCCAGTGTCTGGGCCAGGGCTGTGGGACAGGGCAGTGGGGGTGGGGGCAGTTGGGGTCGGAGGGGTGGGACTGGGGGTTTCCCAGCTGCAGAAGTGAGGGAGGGGCCTGGCGGGTCTGGCCTGGTGAGTGGGTGGCTAGTAGGGCTGCATCTGAGATACAGAAACTAGGACCTGCTCAGTGAGGTCTGGAAGAACAGAGTTGGGGGTAGGCTGGGAGGGTGGCCAGGGTAAAGAAAGGAGTCTGGGGCTCACGGAAGTAGAGGGAGCCTGCCAAGTGAGAGGTATGGAAGGTCAAGCAACCAGGCAGAAGACCGTCTTCTTACTTTTTGTAGTGCACGCTACATGGCTCATGGGATCATAGTTACCTGACCAGGGATGATACCCGGGCCCCTGCAGTGAAACCTCAAGAGTCCTAACCAGAGAATCCCCCAAGGATAGCACTGGAGGGACACCCACTAGTAACTCAAGAAGGAGTAGTGGGGAGAAAACAGAAGCAGGAGGCCCACGCATGAGAAGACCCCAAAAGATCCCTTAGGAAGAGGCCCAAGAAATGGCCGCCTGACTTATCGTCATGGACGGTCCTCGCTGACAGCGGTTTCAAGAGCCCAGAGTGACTGCTTGGCAGCAGAAGTCAGACTCCATCGAGCCTCGGCCTGAACATTTCTATGGCTCCCGTCTCGCTCGTGATAAAATCCTGCCAGTGGGGCCGCAAAGTCCCAAGCTCCTTGTCTCTCCAGGATCTGGTCTTGTTCCTTCTCTGCCCTCACTTCCTCCAGCCCCTGGCCTCTTTGCTGATCCACAGACATGCCTAGTCCAGAATATTCTCTCCCCTAATGTCACACCACCCCAGCACTGCTGCATTCAGATCTTGGCTCCAACGTCACTTCCAGAAACCTCCCCCCACTCCCCCCCTCCTGAAAACAATCACCCAGGATCCCACTCAGATCCTGTTTACCAGATCTATTTTTCTCTACTGCCCTTAATCCCACCCGGCCTTACACTGATGATTTTTCATAGTTTTGTATTCTATTACATAACATCTTTATCTGATTGACTCCCCCAGGGAGACTGTAAATTCCCAGGAGGATACCTATTTTTGTCTATTCTCTTCCCTGTTGGAACCCCCAGTTCATGGCACACAGTAGGGATTCAATTAACATCTGCAGAAAGGGGCTGAGGAAGCCAGACTGAGAGTGGACTAAAGGAAGGGAGAGAAGGCACAGCCTCTTTCTAGAACTTTTCTTGTGAATCCAAGGAGACACATCAGCTTCTAGGACAAGGAGGGTCACCAGTCTTAGACCAGCGAGAGGGCTGGTCTGAGGTCTCCTTGTCCGGGCAGAACCTTCAGGGCATCCAGACAGGAGTCAGGCTCACCCTGCCCTGGAGGGGCTCCTGGTCAAACGGGGTGAACGGACAAAGAACCAGACTGAGAGAAAGATACTGACTCTTGGCTGGGGAACTGCTTCCCGAAGGGTGTAGAATTTAGTTTCTCTCATTTCACAGGATCAGAAAATTCTGGGCTGTCCACATAGGTTCACAGCAGCAGTAGACAAAAAGTGGAAACAGCCCAAATGCCCATCAACTAATCCATGGATAAATAAAATGTGGCATATCCAAGCTATGGAATAGTATTCAGCCACAAAATAGAATGAAATACTATAAACAACTATGTATAATAATAAATAAGCTACAGAGACATACTGTACAGCACAGGGAACATAGCCAATATTTTATAGTAACTTTCAATGGAGAGGTAATCTATAAAAATATTGAATCACTATGTTGTACACCTGAAACTAGTATTGTAAATCAACTGTAGTTCAATTAAAAAAAAAAAAGAATGAAGTACTGATACACACTACATACAACATGGATGAACATCAAAAACACGCTAAGCAAAGATGCTAGTCCTTCAGGACTATACATTGTGTGACATCCCTTACATGAAATATCCAGAATAGGCAAAGCTATAGAAATTAAATTACTGGTTGTTTAGGGATGAAGAAGGGGAGTAAGGGAAATGATGGACAAAGGAAGCAGGGTGTCTTTCACGGGCAATGGAAATATTCTAAAGTTGATTGCTAGATGGATACACAGCTCTGACTACACTAAAAGTCAAAGAATTGCGGCTTTTAAATAGGTGAGCCACACGGTACATGAATTAAATATATAAAACTGTTTAAGAAACAAAAGACCTGCAAATCTGGGCCTTTGGTTAAGCTCCTCCCTTGCCAGCATCTTCCCCTGACCCAGCTGTAAACGGCCAAGGGTGCCTCCACCTGGTCAGATTGAGCCCACCACCATAAGAAGACTGGATTTCCCAGGCTGCTTTGCAGCTAGGTGTGGCCATGTGACTAGTTCTGGCCAGTGGGATAAAGAGGAGACAGGATGTGGGCCATTCCCAGATCTGGCACTGAGCTGGAAGGTCAGTCATACCCCTACCGCAGGTCGGTTCCTACTGGCAGGACTGCAGTAGGACTGCTGGGCTATGCCTCTGACCACATGCTTGACGACAGCAAGCTTGGGGGTGGCAGAGCAACAAGAGGAAATGAAACCGGGACCTGGACAACCTTGAGAGGAGGAGCCTCTTATTCTCCACAAATCTACCTCATCAGGACTTCAATGCAAAGAGAAATTATTAATTCCACCTCTCTCATGTGACTGACTAGTGGTATGTTTAGCCTCCGTTAAAACAGCTACCCCTGCACTACACCTAAAGAGTAGGTGGCCTTGGGCAAGGNATGCAAAGAGAAATTATTAATTCCACCTCTCTCATGTGACTGACTAGTGGTATGTTTAGCCTCCGTTAAAACAGCTACCCCTGCACTACACCTAAAGAGTAGGTGGCCTCGGGCAAGTCATGGCACCTCCCAGGGCCACAGTGTTCTCATCTTTAAAATGAGGATAATAAACAAATAAATAAATTAAAAAACTGTGGAAAATAAAATGAGGATAGACACTTCCCTGGTGGTCCAGTGGCTAAGATTCCCAGTGTAGGGGGCCTGGGTTCAAGCCCTGGCTGGGGAACTAAGATCCCACATACCACAACTTTATTTGGCACAGCCAAATAAATGAAATAATTAATATTTTAAAATGAAGTGAGGAGAATTCTAAAGTACCTAACCCCACAGGGTTTATCTAAAGATAAAATGAGCCAATGTGCAAAATGCTTAAAATGATGCCTGGCACTTAAAAGCACTAAGTCAGCTATTACATTTTTATACATATGTGTACATATATTTTAGGTGTTACTGTCATTATAAACCAGACATCATTCTAAGCAATGGAGGAATCTGGTACCCACTATAGTTGAGTACCCTCCTCCATGCTTTACTGTGAATACCCATTTGACTTTATTATTAACCCATTTTACAGGTGAGGTCACTGAGGCGCTGCCCATTTCCTAAAGTCACCCAGTGGGTCACAGGGAACACCAGTCTCTGGGCTTCCAGGCTAGATGCTGGTCCCCAGTCCTTTCAGAACCTGCTTATGCATGTGTACACTCAGACACTTCAGTCAACTCTTTGCAACTTGCAACTCTATGGACTACAGAAATCTCTGCAGGCTCCTTTGTCCATGGGATTCTATAGGCAAGAATAGTGGACTGGGTTGCCAGGCTCCTCTGTCCATGGGATTCTACAGGCAAGAATAGTGGACTGGGTTGCCATGCCCTCCTCCATGGGATCTTACTGACCCAGGGATCGAACCCCTGTCTCTTAGGTCTCCTGCACTGCAGGCAGATTCTTTACCCACTAAGCCACCTGGGAAGCCCCAGAACGTGCCTGTTCCGAGACAAAACAGTGTGGAAGCACAGCCCGAGGCGCTGCTGGACGCCTGCCAACTCAGGTGGGATTCCACACCCAGCGGTGCTGAACTCTTTAGACGTCTCAGTTTACTCACCTGTATTTGAGGACAATACAAGTATCTACTTCATAGGGCCACGGTAAAAAAATCAAGCAAGTTAACATGTATAAACAACTTAGGGGACGGCCTGTCACAGGGTTAAGTGCCAGATAACCATCAGCTATGGCTATGATTTTTAATTTATTACTGCTATGACTGTCTGCTGACACTGCCTGCAGCCCTCTGTACAGTCCCCACCCATGCCTCTTTCTGAAAGCCATGGGGTCGCCTCCTCCCCAGCCTGACGACTGCTGATGGCCTTACCGTCCTCACTGGGGGCCCCGGGGGACGACTCCGAGTCCGAGGAGCTGCCCGGTGGGCCCCCACCTGCCGAGGCGCTGCCCGCCGCCTCCTTCAGCCACTTCTTCCTCTTTTTGGGGGGCGGCTCGGCCTTCACCTTGGTGGGTCGGGACTTGGGCAGTCGGGAGGCGGCGGGCTGGCCCGTGGTGAGGTTCCGATCCGGCCGAATCTGCCGGCCGCCCATGCCCCGCTCGCCCCGCAGCGGCCGTTCCGCGCGCGTTGCCCTCTCTTTCTCCTTCTCCTTCTCGACGGGTCGTGGTGGCGACGGCTTCTCGGGGGCAGGGGGCTCAGGCACGGCCGTCTCAGTCGTCTGCTCGGGGGGCTTCTCGGACGTTGTCTTGTCAGGGTTCTCGGGCTTAGGAGGTGGTACTGGGGCCTTGGGGGGCGGTGCGGCGCTACCCCCAGCAGACACGGGGCCCTTGGCCTGTCCAGAGCGCCTGGAAGGAGACACAGATGGGACTGTGCTCAGCAGCCCCCGAAACCCAAACTGTCCCCCTTGGGGTACCCTGGCCCCCACCAGCTAGCCCANGGTGCGGCGCTACCCCCAGCAGACACGGGGCCCTTGGCCTGTCCAGAGCGCCTGGAAGGAGACACAGATGGGACTGTGCTCAGCAGCCCCCGAAACCCAAACTGTCCCCCTTGGGGTACCCTGGCCCCCACCAGCTAGCCCACAGCTGTAAGCACAGACTCTTACAGACTTGGTTTCTGTGCCCCCTCTCTCTGAGGCCCCCACTCTCTGGGTCTCTGCACCCTCTTCCCGACTCTTGCTTCAAAGCATTTTGTACTTTAAAATGGTTGATTCTATGTTATGTCAATTTCCTCCCATATTTCACCCCTAGGCCTACTGGCCTTGCCCACGACCTGCCCTGGGGCCTCCACCGTACCTGACAGGCACTGGGGGCCGGTGCCAAGGTTTCCGAGCACAGACCCTCACGTAATCCTTCTTGTTGACGTTTTCCAGGAACTTGACATAGAGGCGCTGGTACCGGTTTTTGGCATCCCCGAAATACCCCAAATACTGCGAAAGGAAAGGAGCACGTGAAGAACTTCGTTCACCGCAGGTGGGCAGCCCAACACCCAGGACTCCCAGGCCTGTCCTGGGCTACCTCGGGACCCTGCCGGGAGGTGGAGAGCCCTTCTGGATGCCTCTTAGACCCATGGTAAATCAGTAGTCATGTGTGAGGGGGACCCCAACTCCTTCCCCCGCCCCCGGCCCCCACCAGTCCTCGTTCTCCTCCGCAGGCTCACATTACTGGTGGCACAAAACTGCCGCTGTCCATCCTTGATCTCCGGAGTGAATTTCTGCAGCAGCGCCTTCTGGACTCGCCAGATGGGTGGGGGCTCGCGGCCGGTCTGCAAGGCCAGCTGAGGAGGGGCACAGCAAGACCGCAGGGTCAACCCCCATCCCGGCCCTTCCAGACCCAACTCCTGACCCCTGTCCTCCCTCCACACCCCCTTAGAGAAAAGACATTGTCGTCAACAAGGACCAATGAAGACCCAGCTAATGGGTATCTTTGGCTTCCTGATGCTCTCAGCTCTGGGGTTGCAGCTTGAATCTTGCCCTGCCTTCCTACAGCTCACCCAACACAGAGCTTCTCTGACTTGCCATGGAGTTCCCTCCCAGTAAACCCATGGTAAGTTGAAGATATCGTTAAGTCATAAAATGCACCGAATACACCTACGTACAACATAGCTTAGCCCAGCCGGGCTTAAACGTTCTCAGAACACTTAAGTCATCTAACACAAAACCTATTTTATAATAAAGTGTAAAGTACCTCAGGTAATTTATTGAATACTGGACTGAGAGTGAAAAACAGAACAGTTGTCTGGATACGGGAGGCTTGAAAGTGTATCAGTTGTTTACCCTTGTGATTAACTGCGTGGCTGACCATGAACTGGAGGTTTCTGTTGCTCCCTGCTACTGCCCACCATCACAAGAGTATCAAAGCACATATCATTAGCCCAGGAAAAGAAAAGAATTCAAAATTAAATGCGTATTGCATTTGCATCACCATAAAATTGGAAAATCGTGAACTGAACCACTGAGGACAATGTATATTTCAAACCTGGAGGTTCGTTCTATTGTTTCTTGTTTGTTTGTTTCATTGTATTGAAGTAGAGCTGATTTACAATGTTGCACTAATTTCTGCTATATAGCAAAGTTACTCAGTTATACACATTCTTTTTTATATTCTTTCCCATTAAGGTTTATCACAGGATACTGAATATAGTTCCCTGTGCTACGCAGTAGGACCTTGTAGTTTATCCATCCTATATACAACAGTTTACATCTGGTAATCCCAGACTCCCAGTCCTTCCCTCCGCACCCACCGCCCCCTTGGCAACCACAAGCCTGTTCTCTATGAGTCTGTTTCTGCTTTGTAGATAAGTTCATTTGTGTTGTATTGTAGATTCCACATACAAGTGTTTTCACATGGTGTTTGTCTTTCTGACATACTTCACTCAGTACGGTAATCTCTAGTTCTGTTCACGTTGTTACAAATAGGCTGTTCATTCTGTGCTACCAGCTTTTAGTTATCACAGCTTTACGGTGTGATTGTTGTCATTCAGTCACATCCGGCTCTTTGCGACCCCATGGACTGCAGCATGCCAGGCTTCCCTGTCCACCATCTCCCGGAGCTTGCTCAAACTCATGTCCATTGTGTCGTTGACGCCATCCAACCATCTCATCCTCTGTTGCCCTCTTCTCTTGCCCTCAGTCTTTCCCAGCATCAGAGTCTTTTCCAATGAGTTGGCTTTTCACGTCAGGTGGTCAAAGTACTGAAGTTTCAGCTTCAGCATCAGTCCTTTCAATGAGCATTCAGGGTTGATTTCCTTGAGGATGGACTGGTTTGATCTCCTTGCAGTCCTGCAGTCCAAGGGACTCTCAAGAGTCTTCTCCAGCACCACAATTTGAAAACAACAATTCTTTGGCACTCAGCCTTCTTTATGGTCCAACTCTCACATCTGTACACGACTACTGGAAAAACCATAGCTTTGACTAGATGGACCTTTGTCGGCAAAATGACGTCTCTGCTTTTTAATACGCTGTCTAGGTTTGTCATAGCTTTCCTTCCAAGGAGCAAGCACCTTTTAATTTCCTGGCTGCAGTCACTGTACAAAGTCATTCTGGAGCCCAAGAAAATAAAATCTGTCACTGTTTCCACTTTTCCCCCACTTATTTGCCATGAAGTGATGGAACTGGATGCCATGATCTTAGTTTTTTGAATATTTTAAGCCAGACTTTTCACTCTCCTCTTTCACTCTCATCAAGAGGCTCTTTAGTTCCTCCCTGCTTTCTGCCACTAGGTATCATCTGCATATCTGAGGTTGCTGGTATTTCTCCTGGCAATCTTGAGTCCCACTTGTGATACACTCAGCCTGGCATTTCACATGATGTACTCTGCATATAAATTAAATAAGCAGGGTGACAATACATAGCCTTGATGAACTCCTGTCTCAATTTTGAAGGAGTCTATTGTTTCATGTCCGGTTCTAACTTGATCTGCATACAGGTTTCTCAGGAGGCAGTTAAGGTGGTCTGGTATTCCCATCTCTTTAAGAATTTTCCACAGTCTGTTAAGATCCACACAGTCAAAGGCTTTAGCATAGTCAATGAAGCAGAAGTAGATATTTTTCTGGAATTCCCTTACTTTTTCTATGATGGATGTTGGCAATTTGATCTCTGGTTTCTTTGCCTTTTCTATATCCAGCTTGTACATTTGAAATTTCCCAGTTCATGTACTGTTTGAAGCCTAGCTTGAAGGTTTTTGAGTAATACGTTGCTAGCATATGAAATAAGCACAATTGTATGGTAGTTTAAACTTTCTTTGGAATGAAAACTGACCTTTTCCAATCCTGTGGCCACTGCTGTGTTTTCCAAATTTGCTGACATATTGAGTGCAGCACTTTCACAGCAACATCTTTTTTAAGATTTTTAAATAGCTCAACTAGAATTCCATCACCTCTACTAGCTTTGTTCATAGTGATGCTTCCTAAGGCCCACTTGACTTCACACTCCAGGATGTCTGGCTCTAGATGAGTGACCACACCATTGTGGTTATCCGGGTCATTAAGACCTTTTTTTGTATAGTACTTCATGTATTCTTGCCACCTCTTCTTAAATCTCTTCTGCTTCTGTTAGGTCCTTGCTGTTTCTGTGCTTTATTGTGACCATCTTGCATGAAATGCTCCCTTCATATCTCCAATTTTCTGGAAGAGATCTCTAGTCTTTCCCATTCTACTGTTTTCCTGTTTCTTTGCATTGTTCACTTAAGAAGGCTTTCTTATTTCTCCTTGCTATTTTCTGCAACTCTGCATTCAGTCGATGTATCTTTTCCTTTCTCCTCTGCCTTTGCTTCTGTTCTTTTCTCAGTTACTTGTAAGGTGTCCTCAGAGAACCACTTTGCCTTCTTCCATTTCTTTTTCTTTGGGATGGTTTTGGTCACTGTCTCTTATACAGTGTTTAGGAACCTCCATCCATAGTTCTTCAGGCACTCACTCTGTCTACCAGATCTAGTCCCCTGAATCTATTCTGGGACAAGCCATCCGCCTGTCTCAAAGCAATGACAGAATCTGAGCACTCACCCACCCACCGTCTTCCAGATATGGTGATGGGGACCATGGTACGGCGGAGAACAAGGCTGACAAAGCCTTTTTCGGGGTCATTACAGACGTAGTAAGACAAGCAAAGAACAAAACAGGGCAAGGTTGTGCCTAGAATAGACACGTGACAGGTTCCCTGAGACCATTTATTTAATCAGTCTGTCCACTGCAGGGCAGGACAGCGACACAAGCCTCCCCAACCTCCACTCCCCTCAGCACACTCAGACCCCCACCCCCAAACCCAAGGCTCATGCATCCCCGTAAGGCACTGAGAACCAAAGGATGTTAGACCCAGAATCTGATCGCAGGGAGTAAGAGGGGTACCTGGGACCAGGCTTGGGCATAAAAAAAATACCAGCACAAGTAATAAATGTGTTGATGGCAGGTGTCCCAGAAGCCTAGAAGGACTCTGGACTCGGGCTCAATCCAAGAATACTTCCTTGAAGAAGTGACACCTAAATGAGGCTGTGTCTTCCCTGAGGGGGGCTGGGTGATGATCAAGGACTACCAGGTAACGTGAAGGACAGCTTTGGCTCTAGAAAAGAGCAGCTAACAGGCATCAATAAGTAAAGAATAAGAACACAGTGGGAAATATACACTGGGCTTTGTGATAACCCAGGCAAGCCCTGGCATTCAAAGAATCCACAGTCAAGTAATAAACAGGATTCAGACGAAAACTCCAATGGATTGATCATGGCTGCCCTGAGCACTAGGCTCAGGAGCAGCAAGGGCTGGGATCAGTTAGTAATGTCTGCCGCTGACAGCAGCTGCAGCTCGAAGCCTGAATGCCACGTACTGGTTATCTACTCTTGGTTTTTGGTCAAATGTTTTCATATCCCTGAATTTTGTATCCTTCAGATCAGCCAGGGGATCAGAAAGGAGGAGTTAAAATAACCTAATGAAAATGAGGGCCAGAGAAGTTCTTGGCTGCAATCTCATTGGATAAGAATGAGGCAGAAAAAAAAAAAAAAAAATGAGGCAGAATGAGACAGGGCTGTGAGCCTCTCACCCCAAGTGCTTTCCCCGAGGATACCACAGTTTTCAATCCTCCTCCTGGCTCCTCAGGTCAGAGGCCCAAAGATCAAAAAGGCTATTTCCAATCCTTTTCAAGGACTGAAAAGTTCATTTACATCCTGACTGCTCCAAAACCTTCCAGGGCCCCCAAAGCAGATTCCACAGCCTGGCACAGAGACTGCTTCAGTTTCCTTTCCTCTCTCCCACCCCAGGCCATCCTGGGGTGGCTCTCAAAGCTCAGCACACAAAGCCTAGACTCTCTGACTTCCAGATTTCTGAATATGCAGGGCCCCTGACTAGGGGTGCCTTTCCCCCTCACTGTGGATATAATGTTCCTTGTTCCAGTTCTCAGATGCTTTTGAAAAAAATCCATCAGAGCACCTCTTCCTCTGTTTCTTGCCACTGCCAATCTCCTTTCTCTAAGGAGCCAGCTATTTCTCTTAACTGGACGTGGGGCCCTCAACTCACCACATCCCGATTGGGCTTGGCTTCTTTCCCCAAACCACTCTTCCTCCCAGGATCCCACCATCCCCCAATCATCCAGGCCCTGGCGACATCCTCCTTGCCTTCTCCCCAAACAAGGTCCGTTAGTCCCAAAGCCACGTCGTTCCTTTCTTACCCCATGTCAGTCAAATCACAGACCACACCCACTTCCCCTAAGTGGGAAAGTTGTCCCACCCAGGGCCCCTAGTCAATGGAAGCCACAGCTGATTGGAGGAGACCTGACAAGGGCAGCCAATCAGCAGGCACACCATGAAGCTCATCTTTACTTCAAATGCTGTGCTGGACCAATCAGATTGTCTTCTGGGAATCTGAATGGTGACGAGCTGAGACAAGGGGAGTAAGCTGCAGGATATGAGTAAGCTAGAGGCACCCAGCTGGGCCGTTAAGGAGAAAACTACAGGGTCAGACACAGGGGAATCTGTGTCACAGAACTGAGGCAGTGGACAGACTGTCAACAGGACTGCAGTTTCCCAGCCACCTCCCTGCTGGCCAGGGGCACAGAAGCAGCCAGACAACCCAGAGCAGATTCTTAAGCAGGCACCCCCTGATCTCACCGCAGCATGACCTGGACTCTGCCCACCTTCTCGGCCTCGGCTCCTGCCGTCCAGCCACTGAAGCCCTCGCTTCCATCCCAACGCATCACATAGACATGCCTCACCACAGGGCCTTTGCACAGACTATTCCCTCTGCCTGGACTGCCCTCCACATACTTTTCTCCATCCAATAAATTTACATGCTTAGAGATTAACTCCTGATAAATCTTCACCATTCCTAAGGACTGGGAGTTAATATTCTCATGCCCATTTTACAGGCGGGGAAGCTGAAGCAGAGAGGGCGGTTAACCCTACATTGTCCAGTTCAGTAAGCCCTCCCCACATGTGGTTCTTGAGCACTTGAAACGCAGTTCATCTGAATCAATGTTCGGTAAGTGTAAAATATAGTCTGGATTGCAAAGACTTGATAAACAAGAAAGACCACAAAACAACTCACTAACTCTTCTTAAACTGTCCAGAAACTAAACATTTTAGATGTACTGAGTTAAAGAAAACCCTATGGCTAACCTCACACATCTTTTAACTTTTTTAAAAGAAGTGTCAATGTAAGAATATTTGAAATGAAGAACATGGCTCATATGATTATTTCTACTGGGCTGCCCTTGTTTTACCATAAACTATGGCCAGTGGCCCATTTCTATAAATCTATGAGTTAAGAATGGTTCCTACTTTAAAGGATTTTGAAAAAGAAAATAAAAAACCAAACAAAACCAAAAGAACACCTGGCAGACACCGCAACCTGCTTGCAAAACTTAAAGTATTTACTATCTGTGCACTGTGCTTAGCCGCGCGGTCGAGTCCGATTCTTTGTGACCCCATGGACTGTAGCCTGCCAGGCTCCTCTGTCCATGGGGTTCTCCAGGCAAGAATACTGGAGTGGGTGGCCATGCCCTGCTTCACAGGATCTTTCCAAACCTGGGATCGAATCCAAGTCTCTAGCCCTAGCCCTTCACAAAAAAAGTTTGCCAAGCTCTAAATTAGAGATTTGCTCAAGATCAGAGATGAATAATAGAAGCAAAGTTCTGTTTTGTTTTTATATGGCTGTGTGGCCATGAGGCATGTGGGATCTGTTACCAGACCAGGGATCAGACCTGTGGCCCCTGCATTGAGAGTGTGACGTCTTAACCACTGGACCACTAGGGAAGTCTCGGAAGCAAAGTTTACAGGGTGCTTTCGACACGCCACCCACAGTCAGAACACCGGACGGGCTGTAAAACCTGAGTCTTCACATTGTATGAAGCAGTTCTAACACAATCAGCTCCCATTTTACAGATGAGGAAACTGAGGCTCAAGATGGTCAAACCCTAGTCCAGCTTGGAAGTGGCACAGATTCAAGCCGATCAATTTTGCGCCAAAGCTGGGCTCTTAATAATCATGCTGCCAGCCCGCCCAGACTCCAGAGACACGAACAAGTCCTCATCTGCACGAGTGGCTCAATCCTGGGACTCTGAGTTCCCCATCAGACACATACCCGTGTTGTATTTTAAGCATCTGAGTCCTTGGCTGGCCCCCTCCCCTGCCCCATGCCAGCTGGGAGGTGGTATCAGATGGCCCTGGCTCCAATCCTGGCTTGGCACTCGCCAGCCAAATGATTCCCTCACCCTAAATGTGAACTTCCTCATCTGTAAACTGGGGATGGTCAAGGTCCCAGAGTCTGGCTCATCTGGTCCAGTACTGGGTGCCCAGAGGCACTACCAGTGTTTGCTAGAATTCTAATACCCAGAGAACAGCTGACCCTGGTGCTGAGAGCGTGGGCTCCCAGGGCCAGTAACCGTGTCCAGGTCCCAAGCTGCAAAAGCCTAGAAAAGCCACTTTAATGCTCTGAGCCTCAGTTTCCTTCCCTGTAAAAGGACAGTAATCTTTATAAAGAACGATAACATTTACAAGTGGGGGCGATGTTTTGCAGGACAATGTGAAAATACTTCATGCCACTGAATGGTACACTTAAAAATGGTTAAAATGAGGACCTTCCTGGTAGTTCAGTGGTTAAGACTCAGTGCTTCCACTGCAGGAGTCGGGAGGAGGGCGGTGTGGGTTCGATCCCTGGTCAGGGAATTAAGATCCCACATACAGTGTGGCATGCCCCCAACCCCCAGGGAAAAAAAAAAAAGTTAAAATTATAAACTTCATGATATGTATTGGTTATCGTGATTAAAGGGGGAAAAAAAATCAAACTAAATCCTGAATGTGATATATCCCAAATCCTAAACCCTGGACTTCCCTGGCTGTCCAGTGGTTAAGAATTCACCTGGCAATGCATGGGATCTGGGTTTGATCCCTGGTCCAGGAAGATCCTACAAGTCATGGGGCAACTAAGCCCATGTTCCACAACTACTGAGCCTGAGCTCCAAAGCCCATGCTCCTCAACAAGATAGCCACAACTAGAGAAAGCCCATGTGCAGCAAAGAAAGGCCAGTACAGCCAAAAATAAACTAAAAAAAAAAAAAATCCTATCCCCTGAGAACTGGTAGCAGTTCCCATCACTGCTGTTCATTTGACACCTCCATCACTTGCCCCAGGCTGAAGGCCAAAGAGTCTTAGAAATCTTGAAATTAAATGAAACGATGTACACCGTGAGGGAGCCGGGAGGACTGGCCAGGGAGGGATACTGAGACTCAAGGCATCTGGAATGGTCCAGTCGCTAGTGGAGGGGTGGGGATGTGAGAGTTCACTCTAGCATTCATTCTGCTTTACAACTTACATATCTCTTCTGAATGTTCTTTTGTATGGTATCAAATACCATGATACGAAGACCATAAAACTATGGGTGAGAAGATACGGCCTGGGATTGGCGGGCTGGGGCAGAGGAGGTAGAATGATGGGACCTTCCTGGTGGTCCAATGGTTAAGATTTTGCATGCCCAATACAGGGAACATGGGTTTGATGCTCGGTTGGGGAACTAAGATCCCACATGCTGCAATGTGCGGCCCAAAAAAAAAGAAAGGAGCAGAAAAAGAATGCCAGGGTGGAGAGGAAGCAGGACCAACACAAAGGTGATACGGTAAAAGCTGAGTGCTGGATACACACAGCCACCTTACTCTATTTGCTCTACTCTTCCCATGAGAAAATAAATTGAGAACAACACAGGAAAAAGCACATTACACTCATCTCCAAAAACACACTCTCAGGAACAAAGTATAACAATAGTGCCTATCTTTATAATGAATGCACTCCACGATGTCTCTATCTGCAACTGACAACAAGCAACACCCAAGGTGAAATTCAAGTTAAGATACATGGTTCTCCCCCCTAGTGAATATCCAGTCAGTGACAGTAACTCACAGGAAGAATGGCTTTACTTAGCCTTTGGTATCTTCACCAGGGCGATCATGGCTTGCTGACCTACTGAGAACTCCTTCTACCCCATGCCCTGTGAAGCACCACCGGGCATCTGAATTCACCTACCCTTGTCAAGCACTGACATTAACCCTCTGATCCAATTACCTTGTTCAATGAACAAATGACCACAGGAGAGGTCAGTACACTTTTTCTGTAACAAAGTAGACAAGAAGTATTTTGGGATTTGTGGGTCAGCTCAGCTCTGCTGCAAAAACCCCACTCTGCTATTGGGTGGGAAAAGCGGCCTTCATATATGATATGTAAATAAATGGGCGGGGCCATGTGCCAATAAAACTTAATTTCCAAAACCAGATGGGGTGGGGGTGGGGTGTGTGTGAGAGAGTGTGAGAGAGAGAGAGAGAGAGACAGTGTGCCCGTCCCTGTATAAAGTAATTGGAAATAGTAAATGGGCTGGCTATATGAAGTATTTAACAGACTTCACTGGTGTTCCAGTGATTAAGACTGTGCTTCCATCGCAAAGGGTGCAGGCTCTATCCCTGGTCACAGAACTAAGATCCCATATGCCCTACGGTGCGGCCGAAAAAATAAAAAAGGGTTTAAGATGTGGCCTGACACACAGGCATTCCCAAACCATCAGCTGCGACTTTATAGGTGTGCGTTTTCATAGGTACTGCTGCTGCTGCTGCTAAGTTGCTTCAATCTTATCCGACTCTTCGCGACCCCATAGACAGCAGCCCACCAGGCTCCCCCGTCCCTGGGATTCTCCAGGCACGGGTCCGTCAATACCTTATCTTTCCAACTAGAAGTGACAAGTAGCCTTTATAGCACCCATCGGCTTGTGTTAGAAGCTCCCTCTTCAGCTTTGTCCTTTAGTATGACCCTAACACTCACAGCAAGGGCATCTGGAATAACTGCCAACAATCATTTCACCCTATTTACTGGTGACATACGCATATACACCCAAATAACAGCTCAGAGGCCGGGATCTTCCACCCTGACTAGCAGGTCCCATCCGCCTGCCCTGCCGTGGGTCTCAGGAGGTGCAGGGGGAGGCCCCGCCACCGCGGTACGTGCAGTCCCCAGCACCCGGCCTGTCATCCAATAAGCGTACCGTGAACGCTCCAGCGGCCGAGGCAGCAGGCTCGCTGGTCCCCCCCCCACCCCGCGACGCCCCCCGGGGGGCGGGGGGGGGGGCGCTCACCTTGAGGGAAGGGATGTCCTCGGCGCGGATGACGAACTCATCGCGCTCCCGGAAGATGCCCTCCCCGCCGCTCTCGCCTGCCTCCTCATCCGTCTCCCCGCACACGGCCGCCGTCTCCTGCTTCTTGGCCAGGTGCAGGGGCCGGGCGTCGGGCGGCTCCGGGTCCTCGGGCGACGGCGCGGCGGGCTCCTCCGGAGCTGGGCACGGGGGCCACCAGTGGGGGTGGCGAGGGCAGGACCGGCGGTGCGGGCGGCGGCTGTGGTGTCGGGGCGGGAGGCGGCGAGGGCGGGGGCTTCTCCTCCAGCAGCGGGGGCTCTGGGGGCGAGAGGGGCATCAGGGTTGGAGACCCGCTCAAACCCGCCCCCCCCCCACCAAACTTGTTACCTGCTGCCTATTCTGGGGGGGTCCCAGCACAGTCCTCCTCCTGCCCTGTACCCCAACATCCCTCCTGATCAAACTGAGCTCTTCACCCAACTACCACCTCTGCCCCCAATCCCCCGCCGTCTCTACTTTCCTTTCCTCTTCTGTTACCCTTTCTCCTCCTTCAAAGAGGGTCCTGTCTGACCAGCTCACTGTCCTCTCCCTGACCTTCAACACCCACCCCGACCCCTGACACCTACAAGAAGCCCACGTTCCTTTAACTTCTCTTTCCAGTGTCCTAATGGGCTTCCCTGGTAGCTCAGATGGTAAAGAATCCACCTGCAATGCGGGAGACCTGGATTCAACCCTGGGTTGGGACGATCCCCCGCAGGAGGGCATGGCAACTCACTCCAGTGTTCTTGCTTGGTGAATCCCCATGGACAGAGGAGCCCGGCGGGCTGCAGTCCATGGGATCACAAAGAGTCAGACATGACTGATCGACTAGGCACTCAGGCAGACATGCCACTCTGGTCCTCATCTTTCCCTGGTCTCCACAGACCCCGGTGTCATAGGGCAGTTCTGCAGCCCAACTGCAGTACTCAGTGTCCCCCCTCCGCAATGGCCAGGAGGCCTCTCTGGTCCCATCAGACCCCCCTCGCGGCTCCCCAGCCTGGTCCCTACAAAGCTTCTAGTCTCCTAATACCATTCGCTATTCCAGCACCTCTTCTCTTGTCCCTGAATGTCCCTCCCTGTGCCAACAGCCCCTCTGCTCCTTCCTTATTGCCACCCAGCTCCCCAACAGTCCTTCTGCCACACCAGCATCCCTCCCTGAGACTCCAGTGGGGATTCTGAGCCCCTGAAACGGGCTCCCACAAAGTCCACTTTAGTCCAGAATTACCTTTGCTGCCTTGGGGCCCCAGTCTGCTGCTTGCTTCTCATTTGTTAATGTCCCTCCCAGTTGCTGGGTCATCCCCTCTGTATACCTGTTCCTTTTCTGCTCAGAGGTCTCATCCTCCTCTATCTAAGCTCTCCCCTCTCCTTTCCTCGGCCTGCTCTTCAGTCTCAGAATTGCCAATGCCCTCTCCTTCCTGATAAATACCCATGATATCTGAAACATCCCCACCTGCCAAGCCCAATGCCTTGAGATTTCCTGACTCCTCAAACTGCTTTTGATCCACCCCTGGGTCCTTAGCCGTGAGCCTTCCTTCCAAGGCCCTCTCTTCCCCTGATGCTCTCTCCCATTACAGCCGATCCAGACACTCTGCATAGAACCCGCCAGTGTTTCCCATCTCTTCCCTGATGCTTTCCTTTAGTCTCTCACTGTCTTACTCCCCATTTCCCACCTTTCTACAACCTTCCAGAAGACATCACCATTCCATAAGACTCCTCTGAACATCCAAGCCTCCTCATTCACTGCTCCAAACGCCCTCCCCCAAACCTCATCTCTTTCATCCCCAATGCCCCTATCAAAGCCCTTGAAATTTTGTCCAACATGCCCTCTCAGAACTGAATGCCATTCAGACCTAACTGTACTCCTAGCCTTTCCTGATGCCCCACACCCCACGATCTGACTAGTTGTTATTAATGCATGTTTCTTTAACCAACCCTGCCCAAGTCTCTGTCTGCTCCCCCAGACCCTCTCCTGTCCTCTATCACACATCTCTAACCCCTAGAGCTCTTCTCACGTCCCACGTCCCCTCTCAGCAATTTTAAAAGCTCTCTCCGACCCTGGCACCCACCTGCCCCCATCACTTATAACCTAGGCTGAACAGTATGTAATCTATACCGTCAGACCTGTGCCCTGAATCCTGGGGACTCCCTGGTCCGCCCCCAGACCTCCTTCCCAGCTCTCACCAGGTGTGCCGCTGCTGCTGGCACTGGGGAGCCCCGGGAGCGGGGGTGGCCCGGGGACTGCAGCCTCTGCAGCCAAGGGGGGCCCATCCGGAGTGGAGGCGTCCTTAGGCCCAGCCAGCGGCGGGTCGTCGAGAGCGGAGATGGCCGAGGAGATGCTCTCCTGGAGGTCCCGGTTCTTGGCAACAGAGTCTTCCTCGTCGGAGGAGAAGGAGGGCAGGGTCTCCAGGTTCCGCTTCAGCTCCTCATCCAGTCGCTTGCAGGGCGAAGGGCAGCCAAGCCCCAGCCCCTCGCTCTCAGCGGCCTCCAGCGCGCCCCCCAGCCCGAAGGCGCTGGCGGGTGGGGGGTGTGGCACAGTGGGGGCGGTGGGGGGCTGGGGAGGCAGGCCCCGGGCCGGCACGGTGGGCGGCACACTCTTGGGGGGGCTGAGTGGGGGTGTCAGGCCGGCCTGGTAGAGTGGTGGATGGCGCTTGCCTGACTTGAGAAAGTCCAGGAACGAAGCCATGAAGCCGGACTTCATCTCGGGCTGCTTCTCCTCCACCTCCTTGATCTTGGCCTCGATCTTCTCCCGAGTGAGGCTGGAGTCCAGGCTGTTGTGGTCAGCTCCCGACATGGCATCGCCCGAGGAGGCTCCCAGACCATCGCCGGCCTTGGGCACAGACAGCTTGATCTAGATGTGGGGGCAGTGGGCAGTCAGGGCCCACGTGTCCCGGCCCGAGTCCCCTCTTGCCTCAAACTCAGGACTCTGGGGCCCCAGTCCTCTCCCTGCCTAAGACTATGAAGTTCAAACTCAGCAATCTCAGCCTGCAGACCTGGAACTCAAGCCCACAGACCCTTTTGCTCAGATTCCAGAACGACAGGACTGATATTCCTCCCTCATTACTCACTGACCCCCTCCCACAAGACCCAAGAACCCAAGATCCTCACGGTCGATAGTCCTGTGGGACCTAGAAGCTAGGAACACAGAACTGACTCCCAGCCTCCCTCTGAATACACAAATTTCAACTCTCAGATCTCTCCAAGCATGGAACTCTGGAGTTTGAGCCCTCAGATTTCTTTTCTCCTGGGAGTTAGTTCATACCATATTCCCCATCATGCCCAAATGTGGCCCCAACTCCCAGGCATCAGGGTCCCAGCCCCCCTCACCTTTAGTGGTTTCAGGGGCTCCAGCCGAGTGCCCCCTGCCTCCTCGGCCTTCCTGCCCCGGCCCCGGCCGCGGCCCCGAGGTTTCTTGGCCCCATCATTAGGAGTGGAGGCTGACGCTGGCCCAGCGGTGGTGGGGACCTCCAGTGGGCGAATCCGGGGTCTCCCGCGGGGCCGGGGCGGCCCATCACGCTTGGCCTTGGTGGGTTTGCGACCTCTGCGCCGGGGGCCGTCAGGGCCTGGGTTGGGTGGACAGAAGTCAATGTCACCCAGTGGGGAGAGCGCCGGGCGGGAGCGGCAGCTGGACACCAGGTCAGGCAGGCGCCGGGGGTTGAGGCGGATGTCAGCGGGCACGTCAGCTTTGTCCTCATCGGCCTCAAACTCGTACTCCTGGGCATACAGTTTCTTGGGCGTCTGGAAGGGTGGGTCGCGGCGCCGCAGCAGGTGGAAGGAGGACGTCTTGAGCAGCTTCTTTGGCTTGGTAGAGCAGAAGATGGGCGAGGTCAGGCCTCCCTTGGGCTCCGAGGCAGGGGGCGGAGGCGGCGGCGGGGGAGGCGGGGGCGGGGGGGCCGCCTGGTGCGGCCCACTCTGGATCAGGCCCAGGGGCTCAGCGTTGACCGTGGAGGGCAGCTCGGGGGGCTTNGGTGGCGGGGGCGGCTGGGGTGCCCCATCTCGGGCAGCCGGCTCAAGGAGGTGGACGCCGACTTTGGGAGCACTGGAAGAGGGGCTGGGAGCGTGGCTGAGGACCGAGGGGAGCAGCTGGGGAGGAGGGGGCGGCAGCACCAGTGGGAGGTCGGGGCCCCCCGCCTCTAGGAGGAGGCCGTGGGGGGCAGGCTGGGCCGACTGGGCCGTGGGTTGTGGGGGCGGAGGGCTCTTTTGGAGGAAGGCCCCCAGCTCCTTGGCACCTGCCCCGTAGTGGACAACTGAGGTGGCCAGCCCCTCAGGGGTCTCGCCACCCCGTTCCGGCCCTTTCTTCTTCTCCTTCAGCCGCCCCAGGCCCAGCTCCAGGGCCGCGGTGGCACCCTCATCAAGGCTGGCGCTGGTCCGGATGACGCTCTGCAGATGGTACCTCTGGGGGTCTTCCTTGGCCAGCTCGTAGGGTGTGCCTGGGGGACCCCCAGCCCCACCACTCCCCCCAAGTCCCTTGGAGGCATCTGCTGCCCCATCTTCGCCCACCAGGCCATCTGCCCCTGAGGTCCGCGGGGGGCTGGGCGCCTGGAGGAGGTGCTGAATGAGAAATTCTTCATCCTCCGTACGCTCAGCGGGAGGCCCGCCGGGGCCCGCCAGCAGCTCGGAGCCGTCCCCCTTGCCCTTGTAGCCACCTGCTCCAGCTGCATAGCTGCTGGCCCCTGGGGGTGCCAGGAACGGGGCTGAGGCCAGGACGGAGCTCAGGTATTTGCCAGGGGCTCCCGGAGAGCCAACTCCGGGCGGGCGGCCGGGGGCAGGTGGCGACTGCAGTGGGCGGATGATGTGAGAAGGGCTGGCCTCTCCGCCGCCCCCCAGGGAGCTGGGCCCCCAACCGCCTCCATGGCCTGAGAGTGCTGGGGAATGGCCAGTACTGTAGCTGAGGGAGGGGCTGGCCGTGGGCAGACCCTGGGAGTGGGCAGCTGGCCCCGGGTACGGCTCACCCTGCACCCCATACAGCTGCCCCTGCAGCTGGTCTGGGGAATAGCTCTGACACGTGGCTAGGCCAGGAGGCGGGGGACCACTCGGGGGCTGCTGGGGCCCCCCTGAGTAGCTAGGGCCTTTGCTCAAGTCCTGTGCTTGACCCCCTCCGAACCCCTGCCCATAAGCCTGGGGTCCTAGAAGCCCTTGGGGCTGACCGGGGGAATAGGCCTGGCCTCCTGCTCCTCCAGCCCCGGAGGCCTTCCCAGTGGCATAGGCTGCTGCTGGCCCACCTAGGCTCTGGCATTTGGGCGTGGCGGTCGAACGGGCTGGTGGGGGCCTACTGGCACCGCCCGCAGCTGCCCCGTAACCACCTTTGCCCGTCTTGTAACCAGGCGACTGAATGATGGGGCGGTAACCTCCACCGCCACCCCCTGCCCCACCTCCTCCAGCTGCCTCAGGGCCTGCAGCCCTGCCCGATGCCCCGGCCGTGGCTCCACTGGGCCCAGCTTTGCTAGGCTCACCAGCGCCAGGGGAGGGTTCCCCACCGCCCAGTGGGCTGCAGGCCAAGTTGGCCCGATGGCCCATGGAGGTGTAGCTGCCTCCGCAGCTCAGGTAGTGCTGGAGGGCATGGGCTGGGGGTGGGGGAGCACTGGCGGGCCGCTGGTAGTGCTTGATGACGGTGTCCTGGCGGGGCAGGGCCCGCTCAGGGGGCGGCGGGCCGGGGGCAGCACCCGAGAAGTTGTAGAGCTGTGGAGAGGATTGTTCGGCTGCGGCGGCGGCAGCAGCGGAAGAGGAAGCCAGCAGGTTGAACTGAGTCGGGAGGTGGCGGGGAGGTGGGGGTGGGTCTGGGGGACCAGGGCGGTAAGGTGGGGTTTGGGCTGGGCCGAGACCAGCGGGCCCCAGGACACCACCCCCCGCCAGGCGCTCAAAACCTAGCGAGGAGGGCACCGTGGGTGCCTGCGAGGGCTTCAGGTGCAGCACGTCATGGGGGGACAGGAGCCCATTAGCTGGGGGACTAAACGGGGGATCCTGGAGGGTGAGGGAAGAGGGAACTGGGAAGGGGCGGCTGCCAAAGGAAGCCGGGTGCTGATAAGCCGAAAGGGCGGAGGAGGATGGAAACGTGCTGGAACCGGGCAGGGCGCCTGAGATGAAGAGCTCCGTGGGGCCTGGCGTGTGCATGGCTAGGGATGAATGAGGGAGACCACAGGTGAGCGTCGACCACACGCCAGTCCCACCCTGGCCCTCCTGGGCTGGCAGCGGGCTTACCTGTTTGCCAGGAAGGACTGCGGAACTGGGAAAGAAGAGAGGAGGCAGAGGGGCCAGGCTGCGGGCCCCGGGACTCCAGGGCCGAGATGAGGTTCATGACGGAGGCGTCGGGCCCTGCTGAGCCTGCATGATGGAGGCCAGTGTCGAAGAGTCCAGAGAGGCCTGGCAAGGGTCGGGGCGGGGGTTGAGTCAGCTAGGTGGGGGATAGGGCAAGGTTGCAAGGGAGAAAGAGCAAGCCAAAGGCAAGTTGGGTCAGGAAAGGGGGTTGGATGGAAGGTGCAGATTCAAAGAGGAGAAAGTAGGCAGAAACAAGGAGACGGTAAGCAGGATGGAGTAGGATGCAATCGTAAGGGCAGGGAGCCCAGGAGGGGAAGAGTAGACAAAGGAGTAGAAAAACCCAGAGGTGAAAAAAAGTGGGAGAAAAAGAACAGAGAGTTCTCACGGTCCAAGGGAGGCCAAAGGAGTTAGGCAATTCTAACAAGGAAGGGGAAGAGATGGGGTGATACTGGAGCCAGTGGGAAGAACCAGAGAACAAGTCGAAAGGGGTTAAGTCCAAGTGAGAGGGTCCAGAATTAAAGAAAAAAAAGGGTGGGGGGAGGGATAAAGGGAAGGAGCCAACCAAGAGGGTCTTAGGGTCAAACTGGACAACAGTCTGGTTGCTGATCCATCTAGGAAGGGAAGCGGCAGGATCAAAGGAGAACCAATCCGAGGTACTAAGAGGCCCCGTCACAGAAGAATCAGGTAGTGGGCAAATCTAAGGGAGGAGGGGGAGGTCCATGAATCGGAGCCAATCAGGAAGAAAGAGAATCAGGAAGAAAGAATTCAGAGAACCAAGAGGATGGACAAATCCAGAGGGAAGGGACCGGGGTGGGCTGGAGAGGCGGAAAAGCCTGGAAGAGAAGGTGGGATTTGGGGGCTGAGAGGACCGGACCAATTGGAGCGAAAGAGGCGGGACCAGAAAGAGGGGCGGACGAATCCGGCGAGAAATTGACCAGCCACAGAACAACCAATCAGGGAAGAAGTGGCAAGGGGCGAGCCAGGACGGAGGGCACAGCCAATTAGGAAGGGTGGAACTTTCAGCAGCCAATCAGCCGCGTCGAAGGGAGGGCCAGGCGGGGCGGTACAGGGGCCGTACCTGCCGGGTGGTGGTTGGTGGCATAGCTTTGCAGTGGGTGGGGGGCCGCGTAGGCCTGGCGGTGTAAGATGTCCGTCTCGGGGTGTGAGGTCCTGGAGCTGCCATAGACCAAGCTGTGGGGTGGGGGGTGGAAAGGGAGATGTTAGGGTTTCCTCCGAAGCTGCCCTCGGAGTGAGGAACTCAGCAAATCCCCCAGGGAGTTCGGGAGAATCTTCCAGCTGACTGGGGGTTATCCTAAGGAACCTTCAGCCATAAAGGAAAGACAAGAGAATCGGGGTCCCCAACTTAAAAGAGCCATGGTCCCCACTCGAGCCCCAGTAAATAAGAGCCCAGAGAGCCTCACAGACATGCACAGGAAGGAGACAGGCTGAAGAGTCAAGAGAAAAGTGTCTTAAGTTGAAAATAAGGAGTTTGCTCCAAGGGCCCCCACCCTGTAGGGGACACAAAGCCCTGGGGCCAACCCCCGAGGGACTCCCCCTCTTCTTCAGACACGTGGGAACACAGAGGCCCTGAACCTCACGGGATGGCGCACACCGAGCCAGGGGCAGCCACAGATTGTTCCCCAACAGCAGGGATGGGGGAGGGGGAGTGAGGATAGGACTCGGGGAAAGTACCAGGTACAAGTGTGAACATGAACGTCGTCCATCCCCCGGGTTGAGGTTCAGATGCATGGACCCATGCAAGGCCAGGTATGTGTGCAAACCAGTATTCAACTCACCCGTGGGGAAAGACACGGAGCGAGGAGTCCCACATGGAAAATCCTAACTCACTTGGGGTCCTGCCCTGCCAGCCTGGGAAACCCAGGTGTGTGGGGGAGGGGGGCAGGGGGCAGGTGAAGAGTGAGGGCGTGACACAAACAGCAGGAAAGGGGCAGACTCGCAGGTGAACTGGCTGCCAGCTGTGTACGCCTGGGCCCACGCTCACACACGCAACCACACACTGGAGAAACAGCCTCGTCTCCTATGCAGCGGCCCCCATCCACGGCCCGGACTCAAGAGGTCAAACACTCCACTCCTCGCCATCAACTAGGATTCTCCGTCTTTGCGGGTGGGGGAGCTCAAGGGGGTGTGTCTCTGATGCCAGGACACCCCCCCTTACACACACACAGAACCCCAGCTTCGGAAGGGGGCGGGGCCCCGTGCCCACTCAGCGCGCGGAATTTCTGGGGGGGGCCCCCGCGTAGCGCGGCCTCGCGCAGTCCCGGAACAATAGGACCTGGGGGGGGGGCGCCCCCCAGGTCTGCGTTCTAATTTTCTTTTCCTTCCCACCTTTGCAAGAGCAGAGCCTGGGGCGCAAGGGGGAGGGGTCAGTAAGCCGGGAATCCAAGGATGGGGGGAAATCCAGGCCTTGCTTCGCCAGTCCCTCCCACCTTCCCAAGGCCTCTCGGTCTGAAATTGTTTTGCACCCCCATTTCCCCGCTGCATCTTTCTCTTTGCATGCCGGAGCTGGCTTTGGCGGAGTTTGCAATTTGCAAACTGGGGCGGCGGCGTTGTTGCAAACCGAGGAAGGCCGCTCCCTTGCAAGCCGGAGGGGAGTTTGCGATGCACGCGTAGCCGGGCGGGCCCGGCCGGGCTGGGCCCCCACCCCTTGGCCCCTTCCTCTAGGCCACCCCCGGCTCCTTACCTAGCTTTCGCTGACCTCTCGTAACTCCATCCCGCCCCGGCGCCGAGCGGGTCCCCGAAGCCGGCGCTGGGGTAGTTCCTGTCCATGAATTGGCCGCGGTGGAAATTGGGGGAGGGGGAGGGAGGGACGGAGGGAGGGGGCGCGCGCGCGCTCTCCTCCGCCGCCTCTCCCTCCGCTGTTGCTTTTTTTTCCCTTCTCTCTCTCTCTCTCTCTCTTTTTCTTTGCAGCCGCCGAAGGCCCGGGAAGGCCCCGGGCGGGGGAGGGAGGGGACAGGGGCGGAGGGGCGGGCAAGGGAGGGGGTGCAGCCGCCGAGCCAAGGAGGGGGGAAGGGGGGTTCCCCCTGGAGGGAAAGAGGGGGGAGGAGGGACCCCGCTGTCTCCGCCTTTGCCCCGGCCCTTGCAAGAGAGAAGGGGGGGCGCGCGCTCAGGAGGGGGCGTCCCGGGCGGCCCCGGGGTGGGTGCGGGCTCTGGGTGCTCGCTCTCTCGCCGCCGCCGCCGCCGCCTCCTCCTCCTCTGCGCTCACGGTGCAGCCATCTTTGCACAAGGCGGAAGAGAGAGAGAGAGGCAGACACAGGGCGCTAGCAGGGCCTGGGGGTGTAGGGTGCAGCGTTTGTACAGAAAGCCAGCTCCACCGTGCGCAGACGCGCCCAGGAACGCAGTTCAGTTTATTTGATTTTTCTTTTTTAATTTTTGCATTATTTCACTCTTTTGCATCTCTCTTCCAAGGTGTTTTTATTTGGAGAAAGAGCTCAACTCCAGTCCCCCAGGTGCAGCGCGATCCTGCCCCTAACCGAGCCCGCTTGCAAATACGCCCCCTCCCCATCTTTTCCTGGATTGCAGAGTGCCCCTGTGCGCGCACGGGGAGCGCAGGAAAACACGCTTGTGCACAGGCGAGTCTCTGCGTGTCCGTGGTCCGTGACACTGAGGGCGATGGCCGTGTCATACCCGCTCACACGCGAGTCTGCGCACCTGGACTGCGCTCCGGGGTCCAAGTTTCCACACACTCCTACCCTGCGTACGGGGCTGGCGTATAACCCCAGGTCAGGAGACCGTGGGGGCCTGCGAGGGGCCGGGACGCGGGAACACGTTGCCTGGGAACTTGCTTGTATCCGTACGCAGCGGAAACACGTGTGGTAGAGTAGGCCTCGGGCCGGACGACCCCTACTCCCATCACCCCTCCAAGCTCAGCTCCGGAGTTTAAGAGGCCTGGGGGTTTCCGGAATCCGGTGCGAATCTAGGGCACGGTTCAGAGAACCCCGGCTCCGCTCCGAAGCCGCTCTTTAGCTGGGTCTCCTGAGACTGCAAGGGGAGGAGAATAGTGCGAAGTCAAAGGCCCGGCTGTTTTTGCCCCATCAACCAAGACCACTCCGGCCCACCCTGGGCGTCTCAGCCAATCCCGGACCCTCTGGATTCAAGACCCACCCTCCTATAATATTCCAGACACACACACACGCGCGCGCGCGGCCCAACCTCCTATAATATTCCAGATACACACACACACACACACACACACACACACACACACACACACGGCTGGGCCACGCCCCCGTTCTCCAAGCCTCTCCCTGGATAATAAGCTCAAAATTCTCAGTCCCGCCCCTAAGCCCACGCCCCTCCCCCGGCCATGCCCTCCCCTCTGCGCCCCGCCCCCAGGCCGAAGCCCAGCCCCATACCTGGTATAGGGGGGCGGAGGTGCGTCGTGTACCCCCGAGGCCGCCAGCGCCTGCTCGTAGGTGGGGAGGCCTGGGGGTGGGGGTGGAGGCTGGGGCGTCTGCGGGCTCATATCACTAAGGGGCCTAGTGAGCTCGACGCTGGGGACAGAAGGTGCACTGTTAGCAGGAGAGAGAGCCCTGGGACAAGGTCAGACTTAGGGAGACAGAGACTCTGAGGGTGGTAGGGGGACAGAGGTGAAAGGGAGATGGACCAGGGAAAAAGAGGGTCACCTTCAACCGAACTCTACAGACTGAAAAGCACCACGTAATGACAGGCAGTCACAGAAATCAACAGTTGCTGAGACAGGCTCATTCACAGACACAGTGCCCCGATACAGGCAGAGTCATGGAGAAACAGACAGCCCTGCAGAGAAGCAGGCAGACACACACAAGAAACAGACAGACACAACAGAGAAACACTCAGGCACAAATTTCCCAGATCCACTCTTCCAACAAACTCTTCCTGGAAACCTCCAAATCCACTCCACTTCGAGACGGATGCTCACGCACTCTCTTACACTTTGCCACTGAGAAACACACACCTAGACAACTCACACGGACACACACAGAGACAGCCTCATCTTGTCACCCCGGAAACTGACATCCCACAGGCACCCACAGACCACAGGCTGCAGCCTCATCAGATACAGCATCACAGGATGAAGATCACTTGTAAACCGGGTACTGCAAAGACAGCCAGGCAGCAAATATTGATGGAGTCCCTATTTGGTGCCAAGCACTGTGGATATAATCGGATGCCGCAACCGGACACAGAATCTCCCAGACTCTTCACAGGACAGTCTCCTCAGATCTTTCAGCAGTGCCCACCTGCCCCCGATCTGGTCCATCTCCTTAGGATGACCCCTCCCTCCCCTGCTCACCCTGCTCTAAAGCTCTGCAGTCCCCAAAGCCCCCTTACTCTTGAGGACAGGAATGCTGCCTGCGGCCCCGACGGCCATGTAGATACCAGAAGGCTCCCAGGCTGGCCAGGACAATGAGCACAATGGCTACTGTCAGCCCCACAGCCAGGCTTGCGACATCCACTCGTCCACGTCCTGCGGGGGGTGGGGGGGGATGTTTGCAGTTGACATGCTTAGTTAGGGTAGGGAGTTCAAGCAGACAATTTTCTGAGTCCCCATGCTCAGTACTGCCAGATTTTAGCAAACAATAATGAGGAGACCCAGTTAAATGTGAGTTTTAGATAAACAATGAGTAACTTTTTTGTATGTCTCATGGAATATATGAGATATACTAAAAAAAAAAATTATCCCTGTGTATTTGAGATTCAACTTTAACTGGGGGTGTAGGGCGGGGAGCGATCCTGTATTTTATCTGGCAATCCTGTCCCCTCTGGAATGCAATCCCTTTTACCAGCCAGCCCACAGAGGGGCGAGGCCTCACCAGACAGGTCAGAAAAATTCATCAAGGGGGACATCCCCCATCAGTCACAGAGTGATGGGGTTTAGGACTCATGTGGACTCTTGGCTAAGGTGAAGTGCCTTTAGCAATCAAGGTTTCATATCGGAGGAAAAGGGGGGTGGGGCACAGGGAGGACCCTGGCTTCCTGAGGCCTTGCTAGGTCTTGCTGCTGGGAAAACTTCTTTTAGGACTGGGTAGCGGGGGACTTTCCTCAAACAGTAAATCCCAGGCTTTTAGCCCTCTTCACAAAAAGCTGCACTCAGAAGGTGGGGCTTCCTGATTCTGACACATTTCAGGTAGATTCAAGCCACCAGGCTACAAGCCATAGGACTGTAGCAAACCAGTTACCTCCCCTAGCAACCAATGTGAGGATTCTAGCCCAGACTTAGGGCCTGTTGCTAAGGATACACTCCTAGCAACCAAGCCACTAGGGGAGTGAGATGCCTGGTACCTGGAGGGGGGTCCTCCTGTGGGCAGGAGGCCTTGGGTCCTGAGCCTGGCTAGGTGTGGTTACTAGGGAGAAGGCCTCCTTAGCAACCAGGGTGAAGCCAGGATGGAGTTGTGGGGGAGGGGGGACCAACCAGGTAGTGAGTGCTGCTGGCTTCTTTGGTCCGGCCTGGCCAGGCTTGGTTGCTAAGGAGCACCCCCCCCCCCCTTAGCAACAAGGCTGCAGCCACCACGGGGCCTCAGAACTCAGAGGAGGGGTTGGGGTTGGGACTGGGCTGATCCAGTAGGTGAAGACACACAGGCTTCCACCAACTGGTTTACCCCGGCCCCGTTGCTAGGGAGCAACCCCCTTAGCAACCAAGCTGCTGAGGCTCTGGACTCCAAGATGGGCTCAGGTGGGCCGGGGCTTCCGAGTCTGAGGACTCAGGGCTGTAACCTCTCCTTCCAACTGTCCCCCTTCCCAGGGACAGGGGACCTCCCCTCAGTGAGGTGTGGTGGGATCCTGAGGCAAGGGCTCCAGTCTCAGAGGAAGGGCTTTCTTTGACAACTCCCTCCAGTAACTCATGGGGCATGAAGTCTGGAGGGAGCCAGTCTGGGGTGGGGGATGGTGGTTCAGCCTCCAGGGTAAAGCCTTGCCCTAGTTGTACAGGATGAGAGAGCTCTCCCAACTCACCTCCTTTGCCATTGTAGACGTAGCTCTCCCAAAAGTGATCCTTGAATGGGCAGGAGGAGGGAAGGCTGAAAAGCATCAACTGGAAGATTCCACACCCCCAGACCAGCCCACCCTGGTCTCTGAGGCAGGAAGGCAGACGGAGTTGAGGGGCAGGACCCCACCCTCAGGTCCTAGAGGGTACTCCTCCGGGGACCCCTTGAATCTACCTCCGGGGACTCCTCACCGTCAGAATATTGTCCTCAAAGTACTCTCGCGCCTCTTCCCAGGAACATATCTCCTCTCGACACTCCCGCTCCAGGTTCCCTGGAGTGAACAACTCCAGGTCCCAATAATTGGCTCTTGGAACCCGCTTACGGCTGCCCAGGAAGCTCTGTGCCTCTGGGGAGTCCAGGAAGACCTCTGGGCCCAAAAGACACACAGGGCATTAGTTGCTCAGTTGTGCCCGACTCTGCCACCCCACGAACTGTAGCCTGCCCAGGTTCCTCTGTCCATGAGATTCTCCAGGCAAAGATGCTGGAGTGGGTAGCCATTCCCTTCTCCAGGGGATCTTCCGGACCCAGGGATCTAACCCTGGTCTCCTGCATTGGAGGCAGATTCTTTACCGTCTGAGCCTCCAGGGCAGTCCAAAAGACATAAGGGACAGAAAACGGAGGGCTCCTAGGACTGGGGACACGTGTGTGTGTGTGTATGTGTGTGTGTGTTAGTCACTCAGTCGTGTCTGACTCTCTGCAAGCCAATGGACTGTAGCCCGCCGGGCACCTCTGTCCATGGGATTCTCCAGGCAAGAATACTGAAGTGGATTGCCATTCCCTTCTCCAGAGGATCTTCCTGACCCAGGGATCGAACCCTGGTCTCCTGAATTGCAAGCAGATTCTTTCCCATTTGAGCTACAGGGAAGTCCTTGGGGACACGAAGGAGCCTGAACTTAAGGAGATGGAGAGTCCTCATGGGGTCCTGGGGAGGAGGCGACTGGAGGCAGGGTTTCTCCCGGGCCAGAGGAACGTGGGTGTTGCTGCCTGGACTCTGGCTCTTCCCCTCAACACTCACCTCGGCCTTGCTTCCCACTGGGTGGTGTGTCCAGGCAGGTGGCCAATCCCAGGTATAGCAGCAGCACAGAGGGGTGGCCCCTCATATTTTGTGGACACTAGGAACCAGGTGTGGTTAGATGAGAAGTGCCTCAGCCACTGAAGAATGAGGCCAGGTCTCCCTGATCAGACTCTGTGGTCCATGAATTATAAGAGCAGACACTTACGTGGCCTGTAATCTGGACCAGAGACTGTTCAAGGTCATTTACCTCTATCAGCTCAGTTTCATTTTCACCACAGTGCTATTATTATCTCCATTTGATACAGGAGGAGACTGAGGCACAGAGAAGTAAAAGAACTTGCCCGAGTTCACACAGTTTGCAAGATTCAGAGGCAGGATTTCAGCAAACGCAGTGTCCCTCCAGAGACCAAAACCAGGAGCTTATCTTTTTCCCAGCTGTGCCTGCAGCACCCAACACGGGTTTGGGCACATAGCAGGCGCTCGTAAACACGTCCATGGATTGGATCACTTTCTTCCTGATAATCTCCATGTATATACCCATCTCTCTGTGCCCACTGCCACATCCACCTACAGCGTTTGTCACTTAGATGTGTCTGACTTTTTTGCGATCCCATGGACTGTAGCCCATCAGGCTCCTCTATCCACGGGATTTCCCAAGCAAGATTACTGGAGATGGTTGCCATTCCCGTCTTCAAGCCATCTTCCTGACCCAGAGATTGAATCCAGGTCTCCTGCGCTGTAGGCAGATACTTTACCGCCTGAGCCACCAGGGAAACCCTCCACCCACAGAGATCAAAGAGTATACAAGAAGTAAAACCAGAGGCACATATCCTGGGGTCCAGCAGTTGAGGGAGGGGGCAGTCATCCTGGAATCCTGGGTTTGGGGGCTCCAACTTCTGGGTACCAGAAGAGCCCAGAGCCAGGTCACCAAGGTCCCCAAGCCAAGCTCTGCCTCCAGGGACATTCACTTACCTGCCTAGACTTGTGAGCACTGTCCTCTCCTTAATCGGGGCCTCCTTGGCTAATTGCGGCCGGCCAGCCGTGAAGAGGGGCAGGGGAGAGGGGAGGGGAGAGGAACAGGAGGGTACTTTGTTCATTAAAGCCGACACAATCTTGGTTCCAGGCAAGAGGGGCGGGGTTTTTTTATTACCTGCCCTGGGCGGGACTCAGGTAAGGGACAGAGTATTTAAAGGGACCTTGTGAAAAAAATACATACATAAATAAAGGAACCTTATAATTAAGGGTATAACGTCCAAAGCCCCAAAGGGACCCTGGGTCTCCTGACACCACGGGGACACTCAGGGTGTTGGATAGGCGCCTCCTCCCCTCCTAGCCAATTCCCCCCTGTCTCCAGAGAGCTCGCCAGGCTGAGCTACAGAAATGAACATCTAGATATCTAGCTATCTAGAAACTGGAGGGGAACGTATGCCTTAGTCCCTAGAGATAGGTAGGTATGCCGCAGTAAATTCCTGCTTCCTGAGACAATTTGAAAGACTTTGACTTCCGATTTCTCAACTGCTCCATTTACAAAGTGGGGACAGAGGAGCCGTCCCTTCTCTATTGTCTCTTCTTTTGCGGCAGAAAAGTGGATGATACACACTTTGGTAAGTGGGCTTTTCAATTTCAGGGCAAAGTGGTTAGTCCTTAAACACAGGGTTGAAGAGACGCAAAGCCTAGGCCCGTCCAGGGAAACGCCTAGTATTTACTAAGCACGCCCCCTATTCACGCCAGTTTCACCGACCGGAACCCTCGAGTTGCCACTCACGTTTCCGGAGGGAGGAAAAAAAAGAAGGGAGAATTTACCAAGCCAGAAGAGCTATCTCCGCCACTAGGGGCAGAACTACTTCCGGTCTCTTCGCCGGGCGGAAGCGGCGGAGCGGAGAGGGAAAACAGAGCTCCTTTCCGGTGTAGGAGTACCGTTGAAGTAGCCATCGAGGAAGGAGGGGTCGTCTGTGAGGTGAGTTCTAGGCGGTAGAAGAATAGTGTTAGTGCGATTGCCTTCCCGTGGGCAAGAGTCTTGTGGTCCTGAGGGAGACTGGGACAAGATTTTGAAATCTGACTTCCTGGCAGTCATTAATAGAGCCCTCTAGGTGCCTCAAGTTTGAAGCCGAATTGGAGGTGCCGGAAATCCCTTTAGGTAGCCAAACCTTCATCCGGCAGTTCTCCCCAGAGTATTAATTCCAGTGCAGACGAATGGGCTGCGGATCCCAGGGCACGGAAGAGACTGGGACTCCTGGGGGAGGTCTAAGGAGTGATATTGAATGAGGAGCAACCCCTCAAGAAAGGGTGGGCCCTTTCTTGGCCTCAGTTTCCCAGACCGTGATGGGGAGGGCGGGGAAGGGTTGTGCAGTCGCCGCCGCTGCCTCTTTGCACCTTTGACAGGCCCTTTCCTCTTGGAGTTGCTGTAGGTTAACGTTTTCCTCTGGAGCTTTGGGGTTAGGCAGTCCTAGGTTCTCCCTTTGATGGTGCTGCTGATTCGTTGTGAACTCAGGTCTTGATGGATCCTTAAAGCAGTTTTACTCTAATATTTTATTATGAAAATGTCCCACCTGTCAGGTTAGTTTCTTTCTCTTCCTCCCGTTCTTGTCTCGCGGCAACAAAAATGTGGAGCAATGGACGAAAAGGTGTAGAACAACAGACAAGTTACAGCTCCCTTCAGCTCAAGCGGATAATCTTTTATTAATCCAACACTGCCGTAGGAGTCCTCCTCATCCTTCCTGTCAAGCCCTCTTGGCTTCCCTCTTTACACTTCCAGTCTCCTCCTTTTGGCTTTGCCCCGTTCAAAGTAGGGCTTGTACCCACCACCAGTCAATGAAAGGGAATAGAAATGGCATACGCTCAGGCCAAATGATAATTATAACTTGTATAGCCGCAGGCTGTGTTGTTTATGTCTTAATAGGCTCCTAACTGCCTAACCGCGGGTAAGGTTACTTGGAGAAGCCCCTGTGGTCATTTTGTATCCACTGTGTGAATAGGATACACGTGCAGGAGTTGAAAAGTCTCTGTGGTTATATTTGTAGCATATCTGTGAGCTCTCCTGGGTGTGTCTCGGAGTTTAGAGATGGCTTGCATCCCTTTCAGCCAGGCTTCCCCTGGTTGCTCATGTCTAACTTCCTACCTAACACAACTTACATAGAAGTGGGATCATAATATAAAAATTCATATGGCCAGAGTTTCTGTTTATTAATATTTTTGTCATACTGGTTGGGCATTTTTTTAAATTAAATATATAAGGCAAAGTCTGTCTACTGTGACATTTCACCCCTAAATATTTTAGGATACATGTGTAAAAAGCAGAGACATTTTCACAACACTAAACTAACTATACTTCAACTTTAAAAAATGTTTTCAACAACTTTTTTTTTAATTTTAAAAAGCGTATAGGCACACAAAAAAGCAGGAACATTTTCTTCCATGGCCACAATACTATTATCACACTTACAAAAGCAACCCTGATAAAAATATCAATTGTTTGAATCAGAATCAATTCAAATCATTGTTTTGTCATTTAAATTCCTCTTAATTTCTAACAGTGTCCCCCTCCACACCATCCTGTTCTTTTTTTTCTTTTTAATATTTATTTGTTTATTTGGCTGTGGTGGGTTTTAGTTGTGGCACATGGGATCTTCGATCTTCATGATGGCATGTGGGATCAAACCTGGGTCCTCAGCATTGTGACCAAAGTTTTCTCATCACTGGACCACCAGGGAAGTCCAGTCATTTCTGTTCTTACAGTGCTTTTGTGATGTATTGACTGGATGGATGGGTCGTTTCATTGATTATACACCTACCGCATGGTTGGAAGTCGTTAACTGATACTGTCATGCCATCTCTGTGCCCAGCCCCCACCCCCAGGTGCCAGGCAGTGCTGGGACCCAGCCGGAGTCCAGCCCAGGCCCCACCTCTAGGGGGCTCCTAGTCTGGAGGGGGAAATTCTGAGATGGCTGTAGTGGAGGTAAATCAGGGCATTGTCAGAGCATCAGGAATGCCTCCCTCAGGCTTCCCAGAGGAGGCAACTCCTGATGGGGCCTGGGAGGAGGAAGCGGATGGGATTTCCAGGGCCGGGTAGCGGGAGGCCCAGGCCCACAGGGATTTCCAGGAGCAGAGCCAGGCCTATAGGAGCTGCCCCATTCCACACTGAGAGTCAGCACAGGGCCTGGGGCCACCTGCAGCCAGGAGGCACCCGCGATGGCCTCGGCCGCAGATGCAGATGCCTGGGTCAACCCCGGCTGCACTGGGCACCTCTCCCTGCCTCTGTTTCCTTGTTTGTAGTGGCCATTTGTGCTGTGGAGTTCGGTGGAAAGTGAAAGTCGCTCAGTTGACTCTTTGCAACCCCATGGACTGTATTCTCTAAGCCAGAATACTGGAGTGGGTAGCCATTCCCTTCTCCAAGGGATCTTCCCAACCCAGGGATCGAACCCAGGTCTCCCACATTGCAGGTGGATTCTTTACCATCTGAGCCACCAGGGGAGCCCAAGAATACTGGAGTGGGTAGCCTATCCCTTCTCCAGGGAATCTTCCCAACCCAGGAATCGAATCAGGGTCTCCTGCGTTGCAGGCAGTTTCTTAACCAACTGAGCTATCAGGGAAGCCCTGGGATTCAGTGGAGTTAACATGTATAAAATGCTTATAACAGGGCTGGGTTTACCGAACCTCTTAGATGAATACTAATCACTATTAATAGAAAAATATGAGATAGATGTTCCCTTTTGCTTTTAGGGAGCCTCCCTCCTTCCTGCTTCCGATACTTCCTATATTTGTCTGTGAGTTCCTTGAGTGTAATTGGCCCTTTGGGTTCCCTTAACACAGGCCTCCACCCTCCTGGGACAGCCAGCAGCATCCATGTGACCTCATGCTCCTCTCGGGAGGGGACTTGTAGCATCCTTTAGTTCTTCTTTAGTTTTCTCATTCTTTAGTTCCCAGAGGGATCTCTGACCTCAGGAGATTGAGGATTCAAACAAATCGACTGGAGAAAAAGACCTGGGGAGATGATAAGGGAGGTTTGAATACCAGCTGGATAGAAGATGATGTTAAGGAATTATTAGTGCATCCATGGTGTTGTGGTCATGTTTTTAAACAAAGTAGCCACGAGTTCCTGGAGGCCGTGGCGCTCTTCTATACTTGTGTCAGGGCCCTGAGGGACTGTTAATTAACTTAAATTCAAGCACCAAACTGGATTCAGTCCCTGGAAAACTTCTAAGTATGTGTGGCGCAACCAGGACATGTGAGTGTACATTTGCTCCTGTAAATTTTATGAAATCTAAATGCAGGGCAAGTTCCTCCAGTGAAAATTGTTGTCTGAATCGAGACATATTAAAAGAGTGGACTAGACTGTGGATTTTGAAGATTTCATAGGAGCATGGGAATGGATTAGCCTTCATTCTCGGATTGTGACCTCCCCAGGAGGACTGCCAGCTGTCACTGACCAAGGAGGGGGGGCAGCTCCAGAGCCTGGGTGAGTGGGTTCAAGTCCAGCTCTGTTGCCAGGGGGGCCCCATGGGCCTGGTTTCTCCTCTGTAAGAGGGGAAGGTTGGTAAATAATAGCTGCTCTTACTTTGGACGTGTCCTCTCTGAAGTGGTAGTGACAGCAGATGGTAGTAGTTCTATTTTCTGAGCCTGTCCCAACTGAGGAGACCATAAACCTGCCCGCCCCAGTCAGTGGTTCTCAAACTTCTTGGTCTCAGGATCTTAAAAATCAGCAAGGACTCCAAAAAAAAAGCTTTTGTTTGTGGAAGTTCGATCTATCACAGTTTGCCATATCAGGGCAGTTCCCTGGTGGTCCAGTGGTTAGGACTGCGTACTTTCACTGCTGAAAGCCTGGGTTCAATCCCTGGTCCAGAAACTAAGATCCTGCAAGCCACAGGTGTGGCCAAAGGAAAAAGAGATTTACAATATAAGATGAAAACAGACATGAAAGGGTCTTTATTGAAATATTCTTATAACAAAACACTCATCTATTTAAAGTATATAACTGTGGTTTTTCATATAATCAGTATTTTTGTAACCATCTCCACTTTCTGATTTCAGGACATTTTCATCACTGCAGAAAGAAACCCCATCCTCCTTAGCAGCCACTCCCCATTCCCGTCCTCCCTTCTCCCAGTGGGTGGCAGCCACCAGTCTCCTTTCTGTTTCTATGGATCTTCCCATTCTGGACGTTTCATATAAATGGAATCAACAATAGGGCCTCTTGTACCTGGCTTCTTTCACTCTGTATATCAGACGTGTCTTAAAGCCAAGGTTTCACAAGCACAAGTCACACAGCCTCTGGAAAACTCCAGATGCTTACTAGAGAATGAGAGGAACAGAGGCAAACACATACTAGTGTTATGGAAATCACTCTGTGGACCCCCTGAGAGTATCTTAGGGACCCTTGGGGTCTCGGCAGACCTTACTTTGAGAACCACTGGCCTAGGCAAATGGCTTCACTTCTGTGCCTCCATTTGCCTCTCTCCAAAGTGGAGATGCCGATGGAACAGACCCCAGAGGGTGGCTGAAGTTGGATGATTGATGAGATGAGGCTACGGGGAGTTGGCCCAGGGGTCAGGGGTCAAGCAGTGTCCCTTGTGCTTATTCCCATGACAGCCCAGAGAAGTAATGCTCCCTCTCTAGCAGTTCCTCTCCTTTCAGAGAGAAAACGTCCCAGTCCACAAAGCCAAAGAGCTTGGCCACAAGACAAGCAGCCCAGTGCCAAATACCACGGAGGGTCAAGGCAGTTGACAACTAAGAATAGAGTGGGGAATTTGTCCCTGCGGAGGTGAACTCGACCTTCATGAGTGGTGATGGGTGGGGGGACGGGGGCGGAAGCCAGGGGGCCAGAGCAGAGGAGGGCAGTGGCCAGTGAGCTGGGGAGGTGGCAGGTGCCGGACACCTGCTCCAAAGCTGGGGGGTGAGGGGAAGCCGGAGGAGGGGCCATGGGTCGAGTTGGGGTGTTTCACCAAGGTTCACCTCTACACGTAGCACAGTGGCTGCGGCTGGGGTGACAGGAATGTTGCACATCGCGACTGGGGCGGTAGTTAGGAGGGTGTGTGCATCTGCCAAAACACATCAACTGCATCCTTACGGGTCTGTGCATCTATGCTGTCAATGTACCTACTGGGAGGAAAACGCCAGTAGGGGGCGTGCAAGGTCCATAGGTTCCTGGAGAGATTTATGTTTTGAAAGAGAAGGCAAGATTCTGAAAGCATCACAAACCAGGGAAAATAAAGATGAAGTTGCTTTTTTATATTTTGGGAGTCCCTGGTGGTGTCCCCACCCCTGCCTTCTGGATCCTCCTTGCAGGCAGAGAACAGGAGAGAGTATTTCCTGAACATTCCATATGCCAGACTCTGTGTATGACCTCATTTAGTCCACACAGCCATCCAGTTAACGTCGGTACAGCCCATGGTTCTCCGCACCTCCTACCAAAGGGCCCTGAAAGGGAACTACCCGTCCAGAGTCACAGCGAGGAGAGAGCCAGGGCCAGGGAGAAGGTCTTACTCCATTGATCCCATCAACCCTCAGCTTGTTCGATCGATTTACTCTCTGTTAAAAGGGGATTACTCTTTAATCCCCTAGCCTTCCACTAGCCGGTAAAGACCCTGCCTACCAGTGTGGGAGACGTAGGTGATGTGGGTTCAATCCCTGGGTTGGGAAGATCCCCTGGAGGAGGGCATGGCAACCCACTCCTGTATTCTGGCTTGGAGAACCCCATTGACAGAGGAGCCTGGTGGGCTGCAGTCCATGGGGTCTCAGAGTGGGACACGACTGAAGCGACTGAGCATGCATGCATCCATCTAGTCAGTCCCCTCCCTTACACAGGCAGCCATTATTATATGCATGATCCTTTTGTTTGCAGGTGTTTACAGTGTTTTGTGCACATGTCGATTGTTGTTTTTTCACCCAGCATCGTGGTTTTCAGACCCACCCATGATGCTCTGTACACACCCAGTCAGTTGCATCTCACTGCTAGATGGTTTCCTTGGTGCGCAGTCACTGTCCATTCCACCAGGGCGGTATATTCAGTTGCCTTCAGCTCCCCTCCAGGATAAACAGCATCACTGCGAACATCCTCACATGGGCTCCCTAGTGGGCGTCGTCTCTGGGGCACACACACAACAAGTGCAGAATCGCCTGCACTCACTTTGTAGAAGTCCCCCAGCCGGTGTTTCCCCAGCATCACCTGCGGGGTTCCTATCACCAACCCTTACCCTGGTCTTAGCAAGCACTCACAGTGCCACCCACCACCTTGGAGAGAGGAGTCAAGTGATGTCTCGTGGTTTTCCTATGAGGAGAGCTTGAGGCATCCAGCTGCCCATCTTTGAGCTGCTTCTGTAAATCGCCTGTTCTCACCCTTTGCTCATTGTCTGATCGGGGTAGCTGTGTTTTTCTTGCTGATTCACCAGAATTCGATGTGCACTCAGTTCTCTCTCTAACACTTGTTTTGAAAACTCAGAATTTATTCCAACGTGAGTGATACGTGAGGGAACAATTTGAGCAACAGGCATACTGCACCTAAGCAAATCCAGATGCGCTCAAGTTGAAATGGGCGTGTAGCATCCACACATGCTCGAGATCCCAGAGCATCTGCTGGGCGCTTCGGTCTCCCACGCATGTTCTCGCCCCACCCATCGCCTCGGATGCTAGGATTTCCCATCAGATTGCATGTAAGCCTCCTTCCACCATCTCAGGATAACTCGCAACTTGTGCCCCTTCCAACACCACTTCCAGTAGCAAACCTCAGGTCTTTTTCAAGATGGAGTGCTTTTTTTTTTTTTTTTTGAGGATAGAGGTCTTTCTTAACCATCTAATGAGTGCAAAACTGTCTTCCCCTGCCCCACTGCCAGCTTGCCCATCAGGTCAGATCGGGGTCCATAAAGGTCCAGTCCTCTCTGTGTGGGCTCCCTTCGGTCACTGCTGCCTTGCAGCTACCCCTTCCTACCTGCCAGGATGACGCGGCACGGCAAGAACTGCACAGCGGGGGCTGTCTACACCTACCATGAGAAAAAGAAGGACACAGGTACTGGGTTTGCGAGGGGGGCAGATGGACCCCAAAATGCCCAGGGCACTCGCTTTGCCCCTCTGGTTGAGCTTGCTGTGTGTGACTTTCTGCTGACCGTGCTAACACAGCCCACATGACTAATGGTCATAGCATCATAACATGACAGCCCACACGAGCCAGCCACCTTTTCCCTGTCTTGTACATTAAGTACCTTCCTGTTTGAATTCATCTAAGCCTTCTAAATACCCACAGAGGAAGGAATCAGTGTTGTCAGCCCGTATTCCAGACTGGAAAACTGAGGCCCAGAGAAGTGCGGGTGCTTGAGCTTGGTCCCAGAGCCAGAAGGCCCGGGGGGAGTCAGCCACGAGCCTCTTGGCCGAGCTGGCTCTCGGGCTGCCTCAGAGCCTGTCTGTCTTGTCACTTACCCTCCGGGGATGAACACCTCCTGTAGGTGTGCCCCACCCCCAACCCACAGACCCTGGGCACATGTTCCTGACTGCACAAGGGCCCCCCACCTCCGCTGGGTCCTCGCTTTCTCTCCGGGTTTGCACAGGGGCACGTCCCCTGGCTCCCCATCCCTCTGTGTGTTCCTGTCCCCAGCTGCCTCAGGCTACGGCACCCAGAACATTCGACTGAGCCGGGATGCCGTCAAAGACTTCGATTGCTGCTGCCTCTCGCTGCAGCCCTGCCACGACCCTGTCGTCACGTAAGCTGGGCACGTGGGTGAGCTGGTCGGGGGGCAAAGGGCAAGGGAACCGCTGGAGGGGCTGTACAGCCAGGGCGCCCTAGACAAGCCACCTGCCCTCCCGGAGCCTCGGTGTTCCCCTCTGAGACCTGGGCATGATCCTAGTATACTTCATGGGGTGTGGAAGAGAATATGTTCATAATAGAGGGTAGGGCTCTTGGAACACTGCCAGCCTGTAATAACAGTTCATGAAGTGCTTCCCATTATCTGCCTCTTCACTGCAGAGGCTTCCCTGGTGGCTCAGATGGTAAAGCACCTGCCTGCAATGTGGGAGACCTGGGTTCGATCCCTGGGTTGGGAAGATTGCCTGGAGAAGGAAATGGCAACCCACTCCAGTATTCTTGCCTAGAGAACCCCATGGACAGAGGAGCCTGGTAGGCTACAGTCCATGGGGTCACAAAGAGTCAGAGATGACTGAGAGACTTCACTTCCCTCACTTGACTGCAGAGATCCAGCTAATGCCACATAAGCCATGCCCCCCAGGCAAACCCTTACCAGGCAGGACATTGCAAGGGCTTAGAAGTACCCTCCCAGGAGCCAGGCACAGGCCAGTCCTTTGGTTGGAATATGCAGGGTGTGGATAACCTTGGCCTCCTGAGCTAACCCTTTATGGCAGAAGATATTCCCCCACGCCTTGGAGCACATACAAAGCCAGGAGAGTTAAAATGGCGCGGTCACTTCAGAGAGCTAAGCAGAGCCCCGAGTGAGCTGCCGCCTGTAAGATGCTGAGGGGGTCTCCAGGACAAGGAGCTGATGTTTGGAGGGTGGCTGTTAACTGCTGGCCATGCTTTCTCATCCTCTTCTCTCTTCGCAGCCCAGATGGCTACCTTTATGAGCGGGAAGCAATCCTAGAGTACATTTTGCACCAGAAGAAGGAAATTGCCCGGCAGATGAAGGTGAGCCCGTTTTATGGGTGAAGAAACTGTGGCCAGGAGATGTCACAGCGCTTTCTAGAGGCCACAGAGCTCATCAGTGACAGAGGCAGGGTTTGAGCTCTGGTGGTCTGTCTCCAGCCAAGCTGTTGACCACTCTGCTGCCAAGGGATGGAGAAGCCACCGAGTCCCAAACCAGCTAAACGGGAAATGGTTCGGGGTCCTACAGTTGGGAGGAACCAGCGAAGGCAGCAGAGACACACCGCAGATGACTGTGCCAAACACTAAGAGCCTCTGCCCGTAGTGTCCCCTGCGTGGGTCCCAGTTTGCCCTCCTTTAAATTCAGAGATCCACCCTGGCCCCTACCTAGGGTGCCCCAAACCCACAGCCCACAGGAGGGTGCCTGGCTCACTGGTTCCTGGCCGCCTGCAGGCCTACGAGAAGCAGCGGGGCGCCCGGCGAGAGGAGCAGAAGGCGCTGCAGCGGGCCGCGGCGCAGGACCACGTGCGGGGCTTCCTGGAGAAAGAGGCGGCCATCGTGAGCCGGCCCCTCAACCCCTTCACGCCCAAGGTCGCCTCGGCAGGGAGCGGCCCAGGTGAGAGAGATGAGCATGAGGTGGGCAGGGGGTCCCGCAGGTGCCTTCGTGGGTGCGGCATCCCAGCCCCTCCCCCCCGCAGATGATGCTCAGCCCGGGTCCAGTGCGGGCCCTGCAGGCAAGGACAAGGACAAAGCACTGCCCAGCTTCTGGATCCCGTCGCTGACCCCCGAGGCGAAGGCCACGAAGCTGGAGAAGCCGGTGAGCCCCTGCCCCACGCGCCCTTGCGCCCTCTTTGCCAGAGAGGGCCAGGTTCACACCCCGCCCCCCTCCCAAACCTGGGTCCTGAAGGCCCCCTCCGTATTCTCCCACCACCTGGCTCCAGCCCCGCCTGCTGACCCTGCCTCCCTCCCCCACCCCAGTCGCGCATCGTGACTTGCCCCATGTCTGGGAAGCCGCTGCGCATGTCCGACTTGACCCCGGTGCGCTTCACGCCGCTGGACAGCTCCGTGGACCGCGTGGGGCTCATCACGCGCAGCGAGCGCTACGTGTGCGCCGTGACCCGCGACAGCCTGAGCAACGCCACGCCCTGCGCCGTGCTGCGCCCCTCGTGAGTCGCCAAGAGGACAGCCCGGGGACCTGCCGGACACGGCCGGCGCGGGTGTGGCCCCCTCTCTGGGGCGGTGCCCCGACTCCTCACCTCCCACCGTCACCCTCACCACAGTGGGGCCGTGGTCACCCTGGAGTGCGTGGAGAAGCTCATTCGCAAGGACATGGTAGATCCAGTGACCGGGGATAAGCTCACGGACCGCGACATCATCGTGCTGCAGCGGGTGAGTGGCGCCCCTCCTCCCCGCCCCCTGGCCTTCGGGTAACCCCGCCCTCCTTCCAGAGCCCCCGCCCCCATCAAGCCAGGGGCCAGGGCCCAGCCTCACCTCCGCGGCTAGGGAACCCCCACGGCACCCTCTCCTCCTACAGGGCGGTACTGGCTTCGCGGGCTCCGGAGTGAAGCTGCAGGCAGAGAAGTCCCGGCCAGTGATGCAGGCCTGAGCGCGGGAAACCAAATAAATGGGGTTTGGACGCGACTGGCCGTGTGGCGCCTTCATTCACCGCACCTGAGCCCAGTAGCCCGGGAATGGCGTGCACTCCGGAATGACTGCGCTTTGAAAGCCTGGGCTAGGAATGTTTGGTGTGGTCTCACGTTAAGAGTGAAGTCTGAATGGAATGCAAACGCACAGCTGTAAAGGGGTTGAATGGCCGCAAGTCGGAATGTGAGCGGCGACCACCGGAGGGCGCCACGTTAACGGGCTAAATGGAAATCCCCGTGTTCCTTTTGAGTTAAACCAAATTTGAAGCCTGGGAGCTTCAGCGGCACGTGTCTCTCATTGCAAAGTGTAATAAGACACCCAAAGGAAATGAAGTGCTGTGTGAGTGAGAGAAAGTTAGGCACCCAGTCTCGAGAAGGCGGTGAGGAACGCCCCCTCCCCCGCCACCTGAAGGCTGGAGGGTGGAGAGGAAGAGGAAACCGCAAGTGCAAAAGCCGGGAGGCAGCGGTGTACGCGGTGGGTGTGAAGAGTGGGCGGAGGTCAGAGCAACCAGGCCTGGCGGACTTGCCTGGAGCTCGGACTTGACCGGGAGGGCAGGGGGGCCCTTTCAAGCTATGTTTTTAATAACGTTGAGTCAGAAAAACAAACCTGTGCAGTGTGGAGAACCAGAGCTAAAAGTTGCAAAATATGGCAAAGTGTAAAAATAAAGACTGGAAGTCCTGCCTCTCAGAGCGATCCCTGGGTTCTGTCCTTGCAGGTCTTCCTCTACCAGGTCTTTCCCACAGGAGTTTTTTCAACCAAAGAGATTTCCATGCACATATTGCTCCGTTCATTGAACAGTCTCTGCCCTTTCATTTTGGAAAATGATCTTGTCATTTAAAGCCCAGACGAGATTCATAAGTGTCTTTGAGTGCTGGGCAAGCTCATGTCTGGTGTAGGACCAGTGGATGCATCTGGTTGGAGGGAAAAGTGTTAACAGCAGGAGGGTGGTCATCCTTGCACCCTGGGGAGCCCCCCAAACCCAGCATTTCCTCCCTCAGACATTTCTAGAACCTTCATGCGCTGCTCTTGGGATCCCAGTCTCCAGAAACTAGCTCAGGTGCTGCTGACACTCAAGGCGCCCTTGCCCTTTGGGGCCTGTCACTCTGCAGTGTGTGCAAGTCCTGGCCACAATCTTGGCAAAAGAATGCTTGTACCCATTTTGCAGAATAGCTCACTGAGGCTGAGAAAGCTTTGCCCAAAGTCACACTGCTCAAGGCCATAGCTGTATCCAGCTTCCCCCAAAGATCAGCCACCTCTGGATCCCCTTTTTCAGTCCTGTCCTTCCCCCCTATCATTTTACCCTTCCTTCCTTAGACTTTACACACTGCCATCCACACACTGCTCCACTGTAGCAAGCTCTCACACCCATCCCTTTATACCCAGAATGATAAGAGATCAGCCCTCCCTAAACACCCCCAATCCCTGTCCTTCTTAAGAGGCTTTAACCACCGGGAGTCTTTTCTCTTGGGACCACACCCACCCAAGGACTCCAGTCCTGTTCATGTGTGGTATAGGCCACTCGCCACCCCAAGTAAACACTTAAAGGTGAAGCTTGGAAATCCCAGATTTCCACAAGGAGCCTAAACCCCACTCCTTAATTCACAGGCCCTTTGAGACACCCTTTCCTGGGAGGGGTGGGATGCAAGTCAAGGTCCTCACTCTAAGAGACAGGTTTCCTTTAAGATTTCAAATGTAACAAGGAGAGGAAGCAAGTGTCAGACCACAGCAGAAGCTGAAGGGAGGGACGGGAAGTGGAGACAAATTTTGTCTTTTCTCAGCAGAGGTTCTCTAGATGCTGGTCTACAGTTTAGAGCAAGAAATGGGCATGGGGGGTGTCGCTTGTCTTGACCTCCAGCATCAGCCAGCCCACAGACAGCATTTTAGGACAACTCTAATTACTAGTTGAGATTTTTTAATCGGGAGACTTTTCTAGAAAGGGAAAACTAGACAGGGAGAAAATTGTTGGTGTCTAGGGGAACAGGAGGGATTGACTGCAAGGCAGGCATAATAAGAATTTCGGGAGGCGTGATGGATCTATTTGGTATCTTAATTGTGGTGGTCGGATGACTGATTTATCAAAACTCATAGACCTATACATCAAAACGAGTGGACTTTATCTGAATCAAAATTTTAAAATGCAAAAGAAAGGGGATATCGTGAGAGTAGATTTTCATATCCCTTTAAAAATGAGCATAGCAATTCCACTTTTAGGCATAGACCCCAAGAAAATTGAAAACATATGCTCATGCAGAAACTTCGACATGAATGATTCCAGCGGCACTAATCCTCTAATAGCCCCAAAGTAGAAACAACCCGAATGTCCATCAGCTGATGAGTGGGTAAACAAAATGGGCTGAATCCATGCAATGAAATATTACTCAGACATAAGAAGGAATGAGGTTCTGATCCATACTACAACGTGGATAAGCTTTGAAAACATTATACAAAGTAAAGAGTCAGATGAAAGGTCACACATACTGTGTGACCTCTGTTACATAAAATGTCCAGAATAGGCAAATCCATAGAGACAGTAAATTAGTGGTTACCAAGGGCTGAAGGGGGCTTCCCTCATAGTTCAGTTGGTAAAGAATCCGCCTGTGATGCAGGAGACCCCGGTTCGATTCTTGGGTCAAGATGATCTGCTGGAGAAGGGATAAGCTACCCACTCCAGTATTCTTGGGCTTCCCTTGTGGCTCAGCTGGTAAAGAATCTGCCTGCAATGCGGGAGACCTGGGTTCAATCCCTGGGTTGGGAAGATCCCCTGGAGAAGGGAAAGGCTACCCACTCCAGTATTCTGGCCTGGAGAATTC